GATTGAGATTGAGATGACTCAATGTATAAATTTACATCCTAAAGAAACCTGACTTCATCCTGAAAGAGAGTGACAGACTCACAGATACATCGACGTGCAGGCTGGACTTCCCTGTATATACTGTATGAAGTCTTTTTTTCTCTTTTGTCCTTTTACAGATGCAGGCCTGATACTATTACTGAATATGGTCACACATTAACAGGAAGGACATCACATGACCCAAAGTTAATGACTTTTTTTAAAGGTGCAGCTTCAGCTGTTTATGGGCCTGTGGGTATCTTTAGAATATTGGTCTCCGCTGATGATCAAGCATCAGATGTCTGATGTCATCGCTGCGCTCTGAGTCTAACGTGTGACAAATGTCACACTCATCCCTGTTCACAACAAATGCCGTTTCCTTCTGGGTGCTTCTGTTGTTTGGATTGGTGCTATTGTATCATTAATGTTGTCACTCTGAGTTAATGTTATTTTTTTTTTTCAGTTTGAGGACACTCTCATGTGTTCTGTTTGTTACGTAAAGAGGCTGTGGTTGGGTGGAACGTTGTTTTAGCCATATTGGGCTTTTCATCAGCCAGGTCTGGGTCACTAGGTAGAGTCAGATAACACCCACAGACCCACGGTTAGGTTGAAGATTGTGGTACATTATTCACATTTTCACATATCACACATGTGCCATATCGACTTAGTCTGGGCCACATGTTTGTAATGTTATCCACATCTTGTTTTTATGGACCAAAAAAAATGTTTTTCCTAAAATGCTGCTTGATGTTTTTTTGGTTTCTAGGTTCATTATTTAAAAAAAAAAACACTTTTGGTTTCCACACTCATTCATCCTAATTCTCAAAGCAGCTGTGCTTTAACACTGTGTTGACTTTTCCTGCTAACTTTCATACAGAACGTTTTTATTTTATTTTTTTAATTTCATTTACACAGGTCATCTGTTGAATCCACAGGACGTGGATCAATCACACTGCTCTTATTTTGGGATAAGGAAATGTTATAGTGGTACTGTTAATAACTTTTTATTTACAGTCACCATCATCATGTTTTTCAATGGAACTGCTAGAGATTTTTAAAAATTCAGTGTATGTACCGGAGACTTTCTCTCAGTCTGCCAAGGCTTTTGTTGAAGCTTTACACTGATCCAGAAACAAACATGAGTGAATAAATAAATAAATAGACAGAAATCAGTTTTTTTACATTTAAATTTTAATATGAAATATATTGTTTTTGTTAAATATAGGTGAATCCATTTGTTTCTGTTTGTGTACATAAAAAAAAAGAACTATTTCACTGATTAAAAACGGTGCATCGTTGATCTAGAACCAACGTTTTGTCTTTGTCCGTCTCAGTTGTGTGGGCTGAATCCACTGATTGTCACTTTGCTTTGTTTCTGCTGAACTCTTTCCTCTCGATGATCCAGACAGATGCTGAGGTCATCAGTGATGGTTGTCTATTTCTGGATGAATCGCTGGAGGAAAAGTTAAACCAGTGACTTCTGTTTTTGTCCCTGTCGGACTGAGACGTCTCCGATTTGATCCATACCAGCCTGAATATCTGGTTTTTCAGTTATCCATTAATGTAGAGGCAGGAAGCAAACCTTTAATTTGACCCTTGTAGCACACTTTCAGTTCTGAAAACAATGTCAGTGATCACTGATGTACTTTTTTTGGTTGTTCACACAGCTACAGGAAGTGTTGTTGCTGTGTATTCAAATGTCTTCTTTTTTAAGAGTCCAGAACAGCAGATCTTTGCATGCAGTGAAATTTCAACCAACGCCATTGTTTGAACTGACAGGTCATGTGACCTAAAATTAGACTTGGTTGAAGTTTAATGTTTGATGGGAACCCGGTGATGAATGTTCTTGATGATTTCCAGTTTTAATGGTTACAAATTAAGACAAAAAAACTAGATGAAAGACAGTATTTTGTTTGCTTGCATACAGCTGGAGCGGTATAGTCTGTGGAAAAGGACATCAAATTTAGAAACATGAATTTTGACAGTTGAGACAGTGATCTTGGTCTTCTGGTTTCTGAACAGCCTCCAGTTACAGACTAAACAGCCACAATGAATCAAAGTATTTACTGTATTTTCTGGACTATAAGTCGCTGTCAGTGTGAAAATAACAAACGTGAAATTATATATTTTAATATATAGGTCGCACCTGAATTTAAGTCTCAAACCCAGATGAAGGAAGAATAAAAAGTGAGACTTATAGTCTAGAAAATATGATCCGTTAAATGATGGACACATGGAAACCTCAGGTCAGGAAACCGTGAACATCAGACCAGATTTGTTTGCAGTGCAGGATATAGGTGTTCCCTCGGTGTGAACCTGCATCAGTTATTGTGGGCGTCAGAAGCAGCAGCTCCTCTGACGACACAAACACAACATGAGGCAACCACAGCCTGGGTGGGGCTGCCAACTCACAACTGCACAGACCATCATTTGGCAACTGAATGTAATTATCGTTTTGCACTTGCTGTTGTTGTTTCCATCTTCACCTGTGTGTGTGCGCTGTTCAAATGAAGAGGCTGACTAATTTGTGGATTGGCTGACACAGAGGCTGGGACCGGTGTCAACATTTCAGCCTCTGTGTCTGATAATTGAACAGCACAGAAATACAGAATTGACTGTTTTGACACCGCAGAGTAAGTAAGTATATCTGTGTGTGTGTGTGAGTGTGTGTGTGTGAGAGAGATCAGTTCTTGTTTCATACGAGGATGAGGAAGTAGGTTTTTTAAATGTTGCACTGGATGTCTTGTCTTGTAGGGGGTCGGCTCCTTTGTGCTCTGAAGTTCCTGCTGTGTGATGGCCCCAGTCTGAGGAGGACCACCTGTGGAATTTGACCACAGACACACAACCACACAAATACACACTGTGTGACGAGTAGATACCTGAGGAGGAGAGGCCCAGCGGACAGGAACAATGGTACGGTACCACAACTTTTATTTTCACTGTTGAATAATTGATGTCTGTGATGACCCAATTGTACAATGTACAATATTATAATGTAGTATGATTTAATGGACTGTAATATGAGGTGATTTTATGTCATATCTGTGTGTAATCTGTGGATCTGATTTCAGGAAATTGAAATTTTGGTTTAGTTAAATTTGACTGTTTATCCCTATATTTATATTTTATATTTTTTCTTGTGTAAAGTGGGAAATATGAATTCATGGTAATGTTACTGTCATCCACAAGCAAAAAGAGATATTTAAAGTTACCACTTTTAAAATGGAGATAACTATGACTGGTTCCTTCTCTGCAGCAGCAGGGTTGGGTTCCTCTTTTTTTTTTTTTTTTTTTTTTTAGCACAATGAACATAAAGATGATTCAAGTCATGACCTTAATGTTTTCAGCTTTCAACCACAGTGACTTAGCATCGCCCTGTCTTTCTGCCACAAGGGCTGAAAAGCTGAAAAAATGTTATGGTATATGTGTGTGAATGTGTGTTGAAGTTTGTGCCAGTGAATGTGGATGTGCAGTAGCGTCAGGATTGATAGATGTCGTCGCAGGAGCATGTACTGTTCACGCTTCAGAGAGTTTCACAAGAGGCAGCAATGAGTCGTGTGAGGAGGAAATGGATAACAGAAGAGGCCTGTCACAACACTTCCTCACACTGCTTACACAAATCTTAGAGAGAAAAAAAAATCAGCAGGGTTTCAAAGAGCTGTCCTTTTTTTCTGGTTTTTGTTTTTTCTGTGGTGCTTTTATGGTGACGTTTTGTCACCTGTAAAACAACCCTGTGGTTCCTCAACATTCTGGGTGATTTATCTGGTGATAATTTACATTTATTTTTGGTGTTGATAAAAATGATTCAAAGATCATTTTAGAACATCAGGGTGTGATGTTACATGAGAGGTTTTTGAACGATAACACTGTGGCCCTCAGTCATTTTTAATTATTTCAAAATCCTTCATTTTTGAGAGTTGAGAAACTGGGCCAACTAAACCAGTGATTCCAGGCAGAACAATTAAATCCTCTTCTGCTAGGTGGCAGCAGATAGCTATGGAAACTAAAAAAAGAATAATCAGAGCTGTTGAAGTGAGTGTTTTTGTGAGTGTCTTTCTTCAATTCCTGCCAGTATATCAGTGTTGTCTTCAATTAAACAGGGTCGAGATTTGAGTCAATTATGAAGTCATTTAAACTGATGGTGTGCTGTCGGGTTTTTCCCGATGATATGTATGTGCTCTGGCTCACAAAAAGGCTGGGAAACTGAACTAAATGATAACAACACATGACAAAAATATAGTGGCATAAGTTGTCAAAGCTGTGGGTGATACCCCGGGGCTGTATCACACTTCAGTTATTAAAAAATGAATTTAAAGAACAGCTGATGTTAGAGCAAAGGATCACTGTCAGACAGTTGTCAGACAGTTTACACTGTACTGGGTTCCAGTGATCCTTCACAGTTTTCCTCTGAATGACAAGTAAGGTAAAAGCCTCAGACCACAGTTTAACCACTCTGTCAAAGAAAAGCATTCACACATCAAAGAAAGACGGGAAAAAAAAAAACTGAAGAAAAGTAAAAGTTCATCCACTAGAGGGACCTCTAAAAAAGCCACAGTGCAGTATTATTTAAATAGGTGTGTAAGGAAATATTTCCAATGCCAAACCCAACTTACCTGGCTGTCAATAGATACTAGAAGTTGGCTTAATCACAAGGGCGCTGTAGGTTAATCGCGATAAGTCGTGATTAATCGTAATGTATTCATGACTAATCAAGGTAAATAAATATGACAAAAAACCTTTTTAAACAAAAAGTCAATAACAACGGGTGGGTGTCTAAGTTTTACACTTGGTTTGGTTAGTGACTAAACCAAGTTAGAAATGTCAAGAAAAGATGCAAAATCATGATGAAGGTGTAACAACTACGTACATTTATTTTGTAATGAGATGGTAGAGGTTCGTCACTGTATCTTAACCTTGCTCAGTCCAACATTAGCTTGGGTTCAGTGCTGCTTCTCTAGAATTTTAAAGTTAGAACGGTAGCTCAGCACGACTGACCACAAGACCCAGCTTCCTGCACTCTCAACCACATTGTGCTTTTATTTTTTTTATACCTCCACCAATACATTTGTTGTCTTCAGAGATACAGTGTTTTTGTCTTTTTTTTTTTTTTTTGCAAATTTTTTAAATGTATTTTTGTTACGTAAATCATTTGTCATTTAGGTTGGTTCTTTACTGAAGATATCCAGTAAATTAGAACTTTTTTGGTTTTTATGCCAAGTAATTGATAGTGTTTGCTCACCTTTAGCTTTTTCTAAGCTTTTTAATATTTTGTTGATAAAAAATCGTTTAATTTTAAATTTTTTTTGTTAAACTCTAAGATATCTCTATAAATATAAGTTAAAGATTTTCTCAAGAGTTTTGTTTAAAAAAGCAAAGACGTCTTACTTCTCTGGTGTGTGTGTGATTCAGGCCAAGTACCACTGGCAGAGTCAGAATGTGAAGCAGAGCGGCGTGGACGACATGGTGCTGCTCTCCAAGATCACCGAGGACGCCATCGTGGAGAACCTCAAGAAACGATACATGGACGACTACATCTTTGTATCCTACCTGCTGATGGCGCTTTTTTTAAACATTGTTAATAGACGGTGTCAGTTTGTGAGTTAATAAGATTAAAACTCTTAGATAAACGACTCACTTCCTTCATAAGGAGGAAAACTTATATTCAAAACTTTAGTCAACAAATGATGCCGATATTTCCACAATGAACATTTATTTGTATTTTTAGTCTTTCAGAAGACAGAATGAAATAATAATAATGACATTTTTATTCACTAAATCAACCCTACAAAAACTACAAAAAAATGTGGTCACTTTTTTATTAATAAGGAGAACAAATGTAATAAATAAGGATTTGAACAGAACCAGTGTGGACGTCCTAGACTAAAATTTAATGCAGTACATTGATAAGAAGACTGGACTGGACTATTGGACAACATGGAACTTTGTAGAAGCCGCTAGACCTTAACTTATTGTTAAACTTGTAGAGTATTTATCAGTCTCATAGTATTTTCATCATGTTTCTTGACCTCAGTGCTCAGACATACATCGGCCCTGTGTTGATTTCAGTGAACCCGTTCAAACAGATGCCTTATTTTACAGACAGAGAGATCGAACTGTATCAAGGAGCAGTGAGTAAAACATCATCGTACCATCGTTAATCATGGTTGATCAGGTGTCGTCACAGATCTGCTCTCTCCTCCCAGGCCCAGTATGAGAATCCCCCGCACGTTTACGCCCTGACGGACAACATGTACAGAAACATGATGATCGAGGGAGAAAACCAGTGTGTCATCATAAGGTGGGTGAGTCTGTTTTGGTACGCTGTCTTTGATAGACCTCAGCTGTTAAGATTTGTGTTGTTGTTGTTGTGGCAGTGGTGAGAGCGGTGCAGGAAAGACTGTGGCTGCCAAATATATCATGGGCTACATTTCCAAAGTGTCAGGAGGAGGATCAAAAGTACAGGTACAGACAGCAGCACTGACCTCTGCTCTGGTTACTGTCTGTAGTGTAGGTCACCTGTGTCTCACTGTGTGTGTGTATGTGTGTGTGACAGCACGTAAAAGATATCATCCTCCAATCAAATCCTTTGCTCGAAGCCTTTGGAAACGCCAAGACCGTGAGAAACAACAACTCAAGTCGTTTCGTGAGTGAAATCCTGATTTCCACAGTTGAGATTCTTGTGTTTCCTCTGACCTGAATGTGGGTCTTCAGTTCAACTCTGCTGGGTCAAATTTCTAGGTGTTGTTTAAGCAAAACATCAATGGTAAAAACAACAACTTCAACAATGACAAAGTATCAGGTAAAACTAAAGCCAAAAGAGGTAAAAAGCATTTAAAAGCATTTAATAAATTCCATGCAGCCATGAGTTTCTTAACCTGATGAATTAAAAGTTTTTTATTACACTGCAATGAACAATATTTGTAACTTGAATAAATAAAAATCAGTTGCAGAAACATTTTGTATTACATTATGGAGTAGTTACATCTATATAGTCTGCCATTTTTACAACTGGCCCTTCAAGGAGAACTGTCCCCCGGTGAAAATGTCTTTGACAGCTCTGCTCTACACACGTTACATTTAAGGTAGAAATGTTTGCAACATATTTTTTTAATATATAAAATTAAAGTTAATGTCAGCAAAGTCCAAATATGTTCACAACAACTTGAATTAGACATCATGATTCCAGAAGATGAATATTATTTCTCCACAGTAAAATTGTTGCTTTTACATTCAGCCTTAAAAACACACTCATTTCTCATCAGTGGGCTATTAGTGCTCTACTTTCACACCCTGAAACCACAGACAGCAAGCCTGACATGACCCATGTCAGTGCACCATTGTTGCATATCTTAATGTGTAATGTTTCCTGTTGACGNATCAGCAAGAAGGAAAAAAGAAGAATTGTTTAAACCTTCTCGTTTAATCTCTGCTGTATCTACGCTGCTGTACTGTAGGTCACAGCTGCACAGTGTCAGACGTGACATTTGCCAGTCTCATGCCTGTCACCTCAGATTGTTGACTGAGATTATTGTCTACCAGGGGAAATACTTTGAAATTCAGTTCAGCAGAGGAGGAGAGCCAGACGGCGGTAAAATTTCAAACTTTCTGCTCGAGAAGTCGAGGGTGGTGAGTCAGAATGAGAATGAGAGGAACTTCCACATTTACTATCAGGTGAGAAGCCAAGAAGAGAAGAAAACTAAAAAACTATGTATTTAGCCAAGAAGAGAAGAAAACTATGTATTTATTAATCTTTTTATTTATTTATTTTTTATCAATGTTTAATATCTGACCTATATTCTGCCTGCACTGCCATCTTCCAGCTGATAGAGGGCACTAATGCTCAACAGAAAGAAGGCCTGGGCATCATGACGCCTGACTATTACTTCTACCTCAACCAGTCTGGGACCTACAAGGTGGACGGGACCAATGACAGCAAAGACTTTAAAGAGACTATGGTACTTTTTTATTTTTTTATTTTATATACTCTATTTAAATAAAAGCTAATGAGACTAAGAACATGTCTGAAAGGGTCACCAGACAATTTAAGGTATTTAGAAGACCTAAGAAGAGTTGAGACACACTTAAAAAATGAATCTGATACAAGGTAGCTCATTATTCTTAAATATGACCAAAAACTACATTGTGTAGTACAGTAACCTCGTGTTTAATGTAAATCAAACCCTGGACATTTAAAAAAAACACTGTTGGAAACTTTCCTTGTACACGATGGAATAACAGATTTGACTGTCAGATCATTTTCATTTTTCATTTTTGTTTTTCCAATTCAAATTTTTATCAAGCCCTCCTCCTCCTTTCCCCTCCCCCAGACCTGGTGTGGGTCTTTAACGTTTTTTTTTTTTTCAACTTCAGCCCACATATGAGTTGCAATTCTGCCACCTTTAACACCTTAAAAAAGTACCAACAAGACTAGAAAACACAGACAGAGGGCAGTGTCCTGCAGATAAAGGCATTACACACCAGACTTAAGCCATCATTTTTAATCATGTAATGCATAGTATAACCACAGTGAAATAGCAGCAACACAGTCACAGGAAACAACAGAGCAAACTGCTGCTTCGTTGATGATCTTTCCAGGAAGCCATGCAGGTGATTGGGATCCCAGGAGAAATCCAGGTTCAGGTGCTGCAGATCATCGCAGGCATCCTGCACATGGGCAACATCAGCTTCATAGAGGCAGGAAACTACGGACAGGTGGAGAGCACAGACTGTGAGTGGCAAAAACACATGCAGGCTTCCTCACTCGTGTGTAAAGGCAGTACACACATTTGCATGTTCTCACAAACGCACACACCTAAAAGGTAAATTCGCCCGAGTTAGCTTCCATCAGGTCAAAAGCACTATTGTTGGAGACGGCCTACGCAGTGGCAGCTCGTTCACATTGAATCCCTGTTCAACAAATGAATATTGTTGGATGTGTTAAATCCCATGAAGAGGCAACAGTGATGGGACAACCACATTATAAATCCTGATTTGTCATCTTTTTCCCCCTAAATGGGATTTTAAATTTTTAACTTCCTTCTATAAAAGAGGGATTGAAACCAGAGTTTCATTTCTATAAAAGAGGGATTGAAACCAGAGACTGAGACAAAAACATGTGATTTTTATTAATACATGTATCAGATTTAGCTATTTTTCATAACCTAGACTTAAACAGATAAAATTGTGAAATAGCTATTTACACATTTACAATAATTCTGAAATTTAAAATACTTTTCTCCAGTACTCGCGTTTCCTGCCTATCTGCTGGGCATTGATCCTAAGTGGCTGCAAGACAAGTTGACCAGCAGGAAGATGGATTCAAAGTGGGGAGGAAAGTCTGAGTCCATCAATGTGACCCTGAGCAAAGAGCAGGCTGCATACACCCGTGATGCTCTGGCCAAAGCTCTCTATTCTCGGATATTCGACTATCTGGTTGAGGTAAAATATACTCAAATTAAGAAGTTCATCCTGACATTCAACACAGTTTACATACTTTATACTTTGTCCATTCCAGGCCATCAATAAAGCCATCCAAAAACCTTATGAAGAGTTCGGCATTGGAGTCCTCGACATTTATGGCTTTGAGATATTCCAGGTTTGTTTTTTCGTATTTTCCAGTGCACATTTCAGTAGGTTATGAATATGCTGGGGATCTCCTAAATAAAAATGAAATTATTTGGCCTTCCTGTGCCACCTGACCTGTAATAGCTCTGCCCCCCCCCCACTTTGAGAACCATTGAATAGATCTGACTTCACCCTCTTCTCCTGCAGAGAAACGGTTTTGAGCAGTTCTGCATTAACTTTGTGAATGAGAAGCTGCAACAGATCTTCATTGAACTCACTCTGAAGGCTGAGCAGGTATGGAGTTCTTTTTACTGCTTACTTCAATGTATGTATTATTGAGTAGTATACTGTTACCTCAAAGGCTGAAATACATTTTAAATATTACGAGTAAGTTGTTCCATAACTCTTGTTTTCTCTCTTTACTTTCCTCAACAGGAAGAGTACGTCCAGGAGGGCATCAAGTGGACTGCCATCCAGTACTTTAACAACAAAATTGTTTGTGACCTGATTGAAAATAAAGTAAGGAGTCACTTGTTTTTTACCCTCTTTATGTGTGAGTTGTGAAGGTTTCACAGAGGCTCTCTTGTCCGTGCAGAGTCCTCCTGGAATCATGAGCGTCCTGGATGATGTGTGCGCCACCATGCACGCCAAAGGAGACGGAGCGGACAGCACACTGCTACAGAAGCTCCAGGCCGCTGTGGGGACACATGAACATTTTAACAACTGGAATTCTGGCTTTGTCATCCATCACTATGCTGGGAAGGTAAACGTGGTCGTGCACAAAGACATTGCTGCTCATATCTGGTACACTCAGATATTTACCACTGGGGTAAATGTCTGTTTGTTTTTAGTCTTGTTTTCTGTGTTTAGTAAGGATTTTGTGACATTTCTGTTTTTAGAAAAACTTTGTTTTTTTGTGGTTTATAATAAACTTGTTGTATTATTAATATATGACAAAAAAGTGCTTCAAAAACAGTCAGTGAACATAGGAAGATGCTCTGGCTGACTTCTTCTATAATATCTCATGAAAGGATGATTAATATTTAAATTGGAAAACCTGCACAATAACTATCACAGTTGTTGTTGTTTAAAAAATTTTTTTTATTATTATTTTGTCTCAGGTGTCATACGATATCGTCGGCTTCTGTGAGAGGAACCGTGACGTTCTCTTCCCTGACCTTATAGAGCTCATGCAAAGCAGCGAATAGTAAGTCACGTAGTCATATTCTAATTTCTAATAATAAGTCATAAAAATATTCATGTTGTATTTGACAAAGAGTGTTGTTCATAAAATACGTTAAACCCTTCTTCTCCCTCCTCAGTGACTTCATCCGCAGTTTGTTTCCTGAAAACCTCAACACTGATAAGAAAAGCCGGCCGACCACAGCCAGCTCTAAAATCAAAGTGAGTCTTCCACTTAGACTGAGTGTACGGTATCAAACCTAAGGCTCCTCTACTTGTATTTTATTGACAATTTTGTACTTTATTCCCTCTCTATTACAGAAACAAGCCAACAACCTGGTCAACACCTTAATGAAGTGCACTCCACATTACATCCGCTGTATTAAACCCAACGAGACAAAAAGACCCCGAGACTGGGAGGAGAGCAGGTCGGTACCAGGACTACTGGACAAATGTTAACTTTGACAGAGCCAGAACTCACAGATGTTTTAACTACAATCAATTGCATAAATCAAATTGCACTGTTTCTTTTGCATGTATTAATAAATGTCATTCCTCTGGTGCTAGGGTCAAACATCAGGTCGAGTACCTTGGACTGCGGGAAAACATTCGCGTGAGGAGAGCTGGGTTTGCGTACAGACGGGTCTTCAATAAGTTTATGATAAGGTAGACTTTCATCATGGATCAGGTCACTGTGTGACTGTGCTGTTGTTGGAAGAAGTGACTTTTCTCACTGTCTTCACTTCTCAGGTACGCCATTCTGACGGCTGAGACCTGGCCGTGCTGGAGGGGGCCCGAGCAGCAGGGGGTGCTGCACCTGCTGCGCTCTGTCAACATGGATAATGACCAGTATCAGATGGGCCGCACCAAAGTCTTTGTCAAGAACCCAGAATCGGTAACAAATAATGAATAGTTTCAGCACTTTTTTATTGTTGGAGCTAGGCATCTTGTGCCTAATAATGTGGTTTATTCAGTGTAGAATTAAAAGTCAAATGATCCAATTTTATTTAAGGATTTATTTATTGATGAATGACTTCCACAAACTCCTCCTTCTTCCTCAGCTGTTCCTACTGGAGGAGATGAGAGAGAGAAAGTTTGACACGTTTGCGAGGATCATCCAGAAGGCCTGGAGAAGATACAATGCCAGGAAGAAATATGAACAAATGAGAGAGGAGGGTGAGTAACGGTGGACTCTCCTGATCCTTCTTTAGGTTTTGTAAGTTTAACATCGTGACTGTGATTGTGTGTGTCCGTCCTCTCCTGTGACTCGTAGCCTCTGACATCCTGTACAACTCCAAAGAGCGGAGGAGGAACAGCATCAACAGGAACTTTGTTGGAGACTACCTGGGTCTGGAGCAGAGGCCTGAGCTGAGACAGTTTCTGGCCAAGAGGGAGCGGGTGGACTTTGCTGATTCAGTCACCAAATTTGATCGCAGGTTCAAGGTAAAGCTTTTTGAATTAACTCTCCATCATGTGACCGATGGACAGAGTACCAATATTCATTTTCTGATTTCTTTTTCTCGTGCAAATTGCACAATTTCTACTTCTGCACAAGTACTTCATCAGTATTCAAGGATTATTTCCATAGTTTTTCTAAGAAGTCCTGACTATTTTACTCAACTTGATGTGTGGTTGTTGCTTTTGAAAAATGTATATTCCACTAAATCACTTATATGTTGTTAGTTTTTCTAAGAAGTCCTGACTATTTTCCTTACTCAACTTGAGTCAACTTGTGTGGTTGTTGAAAGGTTTATTTCCCACTGAATCACTTCTATGTTGTGTCTCCTTACGTTCCAGTCTATCAAAAGAGATTTAATCCTAACCCCCAAAGGCATCTATCTGATTGGTCGAGAGAAGGTGAAGAAAGGGCCAGAGAAGGGTCAGGTCAAGGAGGTGCTGAAACGAAAACTGGAGTTTGGAAGCATCACCAGTGTCTCCCTCAGGTACCGTAGGTTTAGAGCAAAAAGTCAAAATATTTGCAGAGAATAATTTGCAAATATTTTTTTTCTTCAACTTTCAGATTCTGAGTGTTAATTTATTATCTTATATCACAAATAAATAGCTAAATAGCTTGTGTCCACCAAGTAAAACAATACAAACTACTGAGATAAGATGTATTTTATTAGAATATCCAGTTTATTAGAAAATCATTACAAAACATGTTGTTGATTTTTTTTTCTTTAATTATTGTCATCTTTACCTTTAGTACAAGACAAGATGATTTTTTCATCCTGCACGAGGCCCAGTACGACAGCCTGCTGGAGTCCAACTTTAAGACAGAGTTCCTCAGTCTGCTGTCCAAACGCTTTGAGGACGTTACCAAGCAAAAACTGATGATCTCTTTCATGGACAGGTAGACCAGCACCTCCACATTCACCCGACCTGGTCTGTATTTGTACAGAAGCCTGTGCATGAACAACCGTTGTACTTTTCTGCCACTCCAGGCTGGAGTTTAGAGTGAAGAAGGAGGGCTGGGGCGGAGGAGGCTGCAGGGTCGTGGTTTTCCAGAGAGGACAAGGAGATCTGGCCGAACTTAAACCTGGAGGGAAGACCCTCGCCATCACAATAGGAGATGGTCTTCCGAAGTCTTCAAGTGTGTAGAAAAGTCAACATTTTGAATACAGATATTGTGTTTGTTGTGGGTGATTTTTTTTTTTTATTTTGTGAGTCCTTAATTTCACCAGAACCGACCAAGAAGGGTGCTCCTCTGTCCCAGGGTAGAAGGGGCTACCATAATACAGGCAAAGGTAACGGCTCTTTCTTCAAAAGTAGAAAAAAATAATTAAGCTAAAAAACACATATTAAAAACAGATTTAAAAAAATTCCATTTATAATCTGGTATTAATCCAATTAAATCCTCAGTTTAAACTGTGACATGAGCAAATGAGCAAAGTGTGCTGGTCATATTTCAATATTTTGTATTTATCATTTAAAAAAGTTTATTAAGCAGCTTTCATGAGACATAAGTCAAAAAGTTGTCAGACATGTTGAAAATATTTTTAAAACTATTTTGCTACATAGTCTCCATTTAAATCTAAACACTCCTGTAAGAAGTGTTTACATCAGTCCATTTAAATCTAAACACTCCTGTAAGTGTTTACATCTGAGAATACCATATTTCTTAGAGTTTGGAATAAAAATATAATATAATATAATAAGAAGGAGATAAAATGTCAAAATACACCAAAAGTAAAAAGTGGAGCAGTAATGGTGTTCAGTAGTACTTCTTCCTGTCTTTGTATGGTTTCCAAACTGGATTTGTAAGTTAATATCTGTGTTACACGGATTCACTAACAAGTCGATCCAGTTCAGGGCGTTAGTTTAACCCCTTTAACCTCCTTTTCTCTCCTCAGCTCACCAGAACGGAGCGGCACAGTTTTCCAGATCCAGTCACAGCCAGCAATCGGAAATCATGTATTCGTCCCCACAAAAACAGGTCCGTCCACCCAACGCCGCCCTACCCAAACTGGGATTCCAGAAGACTCAGCGAACTCCCACACACAACCAGTACAACCAGGGAAACCTGGATTTCCTGAATGTGCCAGACCAGGGCATGTCTGGGTGAGAAACATCTGTTTTCAAGAGCAAATATAGTTGGAAAAATCTTGTTTTGTTTTTTTTTACAAAGTGGATTTTTTTTCTATATTTTGAATTTAAGATTACAAGGTTTAAAAACTCGGGGCCACAAACTCATACCGTGACCAGTCCTGTGGCCAAAGTGCAATATTACATATATTGCACTTTGGCCACAGGACCACGGCACCAAAACAATGAGGGAAAGAATGGGTGTGAGGGTGAGGGTGAGAGAGAGAGAGAGAGGGAACAGTCCCTGTAGAACCAGTGGGTGAACTTGATAGTCTAAAGAGCCCTATTGTGTGAATTGGGCTTGTCAAGGTGAGGCTTAACTGTCTGGAAGCCAGATAATAATGTTTATTTAGCAAGGGATAAGAAATGAACGGACATAAAAGAAAGATTATAATTCATTCAGGTAGCTGCTGTGACCTTTGACCTATGTGACCTGGGATCACAGTTTAAAGAAGAGCTAAGTACAAACCCAAGTAAATCCAAACCCCATGTGAGTTACCTAGACCCCCCCCAAAAAAAATCAGTTAACGCCTCGTCATCCAAATCTGACCTGTCTGGTGCATCAGTCTTTTTGATCTCCTGTCGTTTTTTTTTCTCCTCATATTCTACTTTTACTCCGACACAGTCAACAGAGGAGGAGGAGTGTCAGTCAGCGTCCACCTCCGGCTCCAAAGCCACAGCCTAAACCTCAGGGACCTCGATGTCGAGCTTTGTATCAATACATCGGACAGGACACAGACGAGATCAGCTTCGACGTCAACGACATCATTGACCTGATTCAAGAAGGTGTGAGCACCAAACTACTGTTTTGTTTTGTGGAAAGGTTCAAATCCAGCCTGTCCCTAACAGGGAGAAACATCACTCTGGTTTTGATGAAGAGTTTCTCCACTGCTATTGATCTTATTGGTGTCACACATTAACATACTGTGACTCTAGTGATCTAGATCTAGTGCTATACGTGCCATAGAAGACTCTAGTCTTCTATGGCACGTATAGCACACATTTAGATTGGGACATTTTAATTACCACTAATTATGATCTGTTTCATGTGTTTCTCTGTCCGTTATTCCCTCGGCAGATCCATCAGGCTGGTGGAAGGGAAGGTTTCGAGGCAGAGAAGGCCTCTTCCCTGGTAACTACGTAGAGAAGATTTGATGGAGACTCCATGGATCCATGTGGACTTGTCTGTGTTTTTGTTTTGGAAACAAGTGTAATTTATGTAAAACAGCTGCCTAGAAAAGAACCTGCATGTGAAGACTTCACCTTTGCACCGAGGAGCTTCAGCCACGGTGGACACATGACTATTGAAGCCGTTGGTGCACGCTGACATTTTATCACTGCTGCATGTGCAAATCATTGGAAACGTCACCATTATGGACACGGTCCTAAAAACACACACATCCCCATGCAAAGAGCTGCTCGGGTTTCATGTCTCCTGTTGCCGTGGACTATGTTATGTTGTTCATAATGACCTGGCAACAAGATCTCCAACTTCTTAACAACACCTTTCTGAGAGCCGTTACTTCAGTGAACGTGACAGAAAGCTAAAGTTACACTCTTCATAGAAAAGTGACCTGAAAATGTGCTGTGCTGGTTTTTAGTGTCTGCAGTGTTTATCAGCCTGAAGCTTCTCTCTGACATTGAACAGTATTCTTGACTTAATCACCCACGTAATGTCAAGTAATAACATCTGTACTTGTCACAGGTATGGAAAGGACCCAATAGCAGCACAACCTAGTCAGGATAAACCCCGTCTTTGTTGGAAGCAAACAGAGCAGCTACAGCTAGCAAATGAGGCAGGATCTGGAAACAACAGGCAGGGATCGTAGTCCAGAACAGGAGACTGGTGGGTTTACCGAAGCTTAGACAAGGCGATGTCCTAGACAGATCAGTTCTGGATCAAATAACAAGTTCTGGAATGTGTATTTGGAAGCGAGGACAATCTGGCAAGAGTCAAGGGAGTGCAGCTGAACATACAGGTAGCAGCGATTGGGCAGATTGAAGGAGCGAAGGTGCAAGGAACAGACTGTGACAGTACTGAAGCTGTGCAGTGAAATTGACTCTTACATCGGCCAAAGTTTGTCTTAGAGTTTGTCTTCAAACGATGGATTTGTGCAAAAACAGTATATATAATCAGTGAAGGTTACTATTCTTCTTGATTAAAAAAAAAAAATTCACCTCATGTTTTATGACAGAATACCTTCAACATTTCAGGACAATGTTTACTAATGTTAAAATTTATGTCAGAGAATCAAGTTCTCTCAGCGAGTCACTTCAAAAGACGACTCCACCTTTACTAGTGGCTAGCGTACAGATATTTCCAACGTACCAGGGTAAGTCAAAAAGTTCTAAGTGATGTTTTATTCATTTCAACTGTGTCGCTTGTAATAATGGTAGTTATGTCTCTTTAATTTTTACCTATTTTAAAAAGAAAAGAAAATGTATTTGTACTAGCCTAGGTTTTGTTATTCAATATATTTTTTTACCAATGAAGAAACGAGGAAAGAAACTTAAAATTTCAATTTTCAAATTGTTTTTACATGTTTCTTTTGTATAAATTAAAGTCAGTAAATGTTTGTGATCTATGACGACAGAGAAGAATATAAATAAAAGTGTTACATTTCTTGTATTTTAAAGTATCTTGATGTGTTGGGATTTTAAAGCAATTGATACATCAATTTTATATTTTTATATTTTATCGATTCATATATTTGTATGTATGTGCTATACTGTATTTCCTACGGTTTACAATTTCTAAATGATTAAAAACAATTAAAATGTAAACATTAACAAAAATAGGTTATTTTTCTTCTTTTTTCTCTCTCCATAGAGTGTTTGATCTCAGTTGAAAAGTATACATGTGTTACAGTAATACCCAGTGGAAACAACGGCGTGGTTCAGTCCACTACAGTCTTTTTTTTCTCAATGACACAGAAATGGGAGGGGTTTCAGCCCCGCCCACCTGCTGCATCTGTTGTTTCATGTGAAGGTGAAGTGACAATACCGCACTGGAGTGTGAGAGTTCAGCAGCAGTAGAGGTAAGAGTCAGCCATCTATCTTATGAAATCCATTCAAACATTTATTCAAATTTCTGATAGTGTTTGAAAACCGTCCAGGGAAAGGTCTGAAACCCACAGACTCCGGAAATGAGTCTAAGTGCAAGGTTTCGATTGTCATTCACCTTGATGTTGGCCAGTTGTGGGTTTGTAGTGTTTTATGTTCTTTAATATTTTATTCATTATTTTAAAATATTTCATTGTGGTTAGATCTGGTTAGATGACAAACTGTATGTCCTTGTTTGAGTGCTCTTTTTTAAGGACATTAGAGTTGAATGTAATCTAATTGAAGGCTGATCTGATCTGATCTGTGACAATAATAGTTTAATATGACAGACTCTAAATACCAATATACATGCCATGTCTCTGCTGTGTTAATACTTTTTCTACTGAGGCAAATTTATTAAGCAACCCAGTGTGTAATAATTAAGTTTTTATCCATGTAGTAAATAAATCTCTGTTAGAGTTTACTGTAAACAGTTTTGACAATTTTGGTGTGCTAAAGTGTGCTAAGATGGCTAAATTAAGATCAGGCTTGTACTCAATCATTCATCTGACTCTGTCACAATAATTTAACATTTTACCTTATAATAATGCTATCGTTTTTTGGGGGGGGGTTGTATAAAAATTTTAAATGTGGCCACAGTGGCCTTAGTCGCGTTCATCTGCCTCCACATGATTGCAAAATACCCCACGTATTTTGCAATGGATGTCTCTCGGTCAGGGGTGTCAAACTTTCAGAGGTGTGAAAGTACAGTATGTGTGTTGGAAATGGGGCAGGGACTGTGGGGGTGGAGGACGGTTTTTGTCAGGTGACAGGTTAGGCATATTTGCATAAAAGCAGTGATACTTAAGAGGGATAAGAAACATTTACATCAGCCAAATCCTCACAATAGACCAATACACCATAAACCTGACTGGTCTCAGGAGTAAGAGCAGAGATTCAGGAGCACAGTGGGATATTAATGCTGTAGGGCTGATGTTGCCCTTTTCTTTGTTTGACAGGCGTCTTCTCCAGAGAAAAGATGGCAGGTGTGTTCTCCTACCAGAGCTCAGAAATCGACTGGTGTGAAGACAACTACAGACACTCAGAACATGTGGTGGAGTACTTCAACACTGTCAGTCCTGCAAATATATTTTAATTATCTGTATGTATATTTCATATATATAAAAACATATATATGCAAAAAATAACACTGTTTATTTGGTTGCTTACTGTTTCTGTTGCAGATAAGCAGCTTTGTTTTCTTCATCATTGCTCCCATCATGCTCTACCTTCTGCATCCCTATGCCAAAGAGAGGAGTCTGGCAATTCACATGGTTTGGATCATGATGATATTTGTAGGTCAGTTATTGTTTTTTTTTTTAATTATTTCACACTTTGGATTTTAATGTCGATCCACGGCATAATAGAGAATAAAGACTGTCTGTGTTTTTTTATCCCTTCTTTAACTCCTGATAAGTTAAAATGTGAAGCTTGTCTATTTATTCGTTATTGTCATTAAAAGCGTTTTTCTTCTTTCAGGACTGTTCTCAGCTTATTTTCACATGACCCTCAGTTTTGTTGGCCAGATGTTGGACGAGCTGTCCATCCTGTGGGTGCTGGCAGTGGGATACGCCACCTGGTTTCCCCGCAAACTGTTTCCTTCTTTTATAAAGGACAGGTAAGGAACCAAAAGTTTAGAATAGGACCATCAACAGTTGACACGAAGCAGGTCTTCACTCTGTAGTTCAGTGTGTTACTAAGGACTCACGTGAAGCCACACCATCATGTCACGATAACAATGGCTCTGAAACCTTAGCTGTGTCCGCGGCGAGTCCGTACCCATGTCATTGGCACAAAGGCACATTATTGCTCCACTCCTCTCCAACTGGATGTGACAGGTAGAAGTTCACACTATTGTGAGAAGATGGAGCTCCACCCAAACCCATGTTAATATTTAACCACATGTTGATCAAGACAAAAAATGAAACTTTCATGAGCACATGGAGAGAGAAAAAAACCTCACAGTCCTGACTAAATGGAACCACACCCTGAAATGTGTATTTGTTCTCTTTTATCCTAATGCATTCAATGTAAACATACAGTGAGAACACTGATTATAACTCTCTGATCCACTAAACACAGCTGGATCCATACCACCAGAACACTGGCAACTGGTAATTTTTGTCTTTCTATATGTAAAGTTCACACATTCTACTGAATTCCTATCATGGATCCAGTAATAATAACTGCAGGAAAAAAACAGAAACCAGTGTCAATCACTTGGAATATTCAATGTGCCAATATCTAAACAAATAGAGAATAAACAAACTGTCAACAGTGGTTCCCTTTGGGAATTTGTCAGCTTGATTGTTTTGCCTCTTTGTGTTCATTCTCCTGTACAGGTCAACATTTTCACGTCTGGTCCTGGCCATTACCATCATCACCTCGGTATCTTCGTTTGTCAAACCGACTGCCAACGCCTACGCATTAAACTGCTTTGGTCTGCACCTGCTCTACACACTAGTTCTGGAGATGAGATGGTATAACACTATAGACTTCCAGACACCTTTCAATGTCTAACTGTTGTGGTTTCAGTGTTTTGTTATCAATAACTTTGTTTTTTTTTTCTTCAGCTGCACTGACCAGAAGGCTCTACGTCTGGCCAAGGTCTCTGTAGCTCTGTGGGTTCTCGCCATCATCTGCTGGATCAGTGACCGTGTTGGCTGCAGCTTCTGGCAGCAGATCAATTTTTGTTACCTGCACAGTTTCTGGTAGGCATCAGCTCAGTCCTTTCATCGCCTTTCCTTTCCTTTCCATTTTTTTTTTACCAACTATTATTATATATTATCATAGTCATACTTATAATCATTTTTTATTTGTTTGTTTGTCAGGCATATTCTCATCGTGATGGCAGTTGCCTATGGCAGCACACTGATAGCCTACCTGGACGCTAACTATGAGATTCCATATTCACTACCTGGACTTTGCTACTGGCCTTGTGACAAATGGGCTGTCGGTTTACCTCACATTGTGCTAAAGAGCACTACAAAAACACAGAAACGCTGCTGACAACGTCTGGCTTTCACATGAGCTGAGAATTTCTCTGCTCTCCTGAATTAGTTTACTTACTGTCTATATATAAATAATAATAATCCAGTTATTTATAGTCACTTTTTTTATTTAAAACAATGTACGGACTACAATGTGATTTTTAAACTGATGGGTCTCCTTTTAAAGCTATGTGGTTATAAATTAAAAAAATACAAATAAAACAACTGTAGAGATTATATTATAAACAAAGGAGTTTTTCTACAGTAATTTATTTTATCCTGTTACTTGAGCACAAACTCCGTATGTGGTGGTTTCTGTCATATATCCTGTCCTTTGTTATCTGAATTTTACCTGAAACTTCAGTGATCATCTGTACAGTAACTTTAGGATCAGGACTGATTTTGTTCAGCTCTACTTTAAAATGAGGATCCGTGACATTGCACTCACACTTGTTCGCTGTTACCAAATGTGTTTCTCCTATTCTCCTATTTCTGTAGATAAGAAAAATGCAACACGGAATATGTGAGCGACTCTGTTATTTCACAAAATGTCTCAAAGATTGTTTTTGTTTCATTTCAGTTATATTTATTATTATATAATGTGTATTTGTTCGAAAAATAGACGGATTACACAAAGAAACCCAGCTGCTTTTTTGTTTTACAATATAGTGTTCAACAGCGACCTCTTGTGGCCGCTATGGCCTCCTGCGCTGTCGGAAACGGTTTTCATGATAATTATAATCTGCTCTTTGATTTCTTAAAAACAATAGGCAACATATCTTAACAATTTGGATTTTTTAAAAAGAAATCATCTTTTTAGATGCATAGGTAGCGACAACAACAAATGGGGAGTGAAAAATACCCTATAGCCTATAGTAGTCTATGTTTCAAGCTTTGTGATTGATGGATTGCTGGTTCCAACCTTTTTTTTTTTTTGGTGCTTGTGAAAACGTAAACGTATTTGTTATACAGTAAAAAAAAAAGCTTTGCAGTGCTTTTCAAGCAAATGCATCACAGGATGTACAGTTTCCTAGAGGGATTTTTACACGATCAAATTTTACTCCTCTTTAAATGTATTGCAACAACCATATTTGAAACGCTGTTGTCTTCATTTGGTAAATGTGTCTTTTCTCATTTGTTGAAAAGGAGGATTTAAAGGTTAGCGTCTCAGTGGAAGTCCTTCACCTTTTATGTTTGACATCTGGACAGGACTTCCCCTGATGAAGACGTGGACTGGATCAGTTTGAGTGGCAGGAGAAAGAGAGGCATCAAACTAGTGAGAGAATGGTGACCTCTTGTTGACCTTGTTCCTAGAAGCTGTCCAATAATCTCCCTTTAAAATCAAAGAAGGTAAAGACAAAAAAAATCTGTGAAGTCCACTGGAATGTGTCCATTTTTATTATAAAAAATAAAAGATATTAATTTGAAAAGGACCAAAGAGAAAAGATGAAGGGTAATTCTAAAAGCTCAGCTATTCATTTAACAAAATTCAAAAACTTGAAAATCCCAGATGGTGTTACATTTTCATGCTGTTTAAGAAATAATTACTCTTAAAACTGTTTTCACTTTGCTTTTCAGTGTATTTTAATTCTGTGTAATGGTCTCTACACACATTGAAAAGAAGGATTTAAAAGTGGATGTCTCAATTCAAATGGGACGCGGCCTTGTCTGACAACCAGGTGGGACCTTTAACTCAGATTTGACTTAAGCGCAGGACACAGGATCAGTTTGGGGGCCAAGAACAGGGGGTGGTGTCAGAGTGAGCCAGTGAGAGAGTGGTGACCTTGTGTCCCAGAGTTGAGGCCCGATAATCTCACATCAAAGTCTAAGCACTGTGAAGGATTGACTACGAGGGGCTTGTTCCCTGAGTCTACAGAAAAGACATCTTCAATCTGACAACGTTAAAACTGTTTTTCTAATGTAAATTACAACGTGTTTCTGTGCCAGTGAAACTACTACATCGTGTTAACAGTAAGCATAATATTTACAAGACACAACAGATGTAAATGTATAAAAACATGTAAAATAATTACCATATGTTAAAGGGAAGATGTAATTGCTGTTCAGTGTCAGTCGTTAGGTACACTGGGAGGGATTTAGGACCATCTAGTGGTTACTATTTATATTGTGGTTGAATATGCCTTACTGTAACTCAACATTCTTTACTTATTGTATTAAACTTTACAAAATTTTACATTTTTTGTTTGGTGGCTTGAATCCAGAGCTGAAATGTTGCTGTAGACTGACTGCAAATTGTGAGAATTGAACTGAAAGGTGATACTACTACTACTACTACTACTACTACTACTACTACTACAACTACTACTACTACTAATAATAATAATAACAACAATAATAATAATAAATAATTTACATAAGAATAGTAAAAAGCCAATCGCAGTAATACCAGTGAACTTTTATTTCAATTAGCATCATAAGCATTTTGTAATTGAAACTGCGCTGTAACCATTGGGACATGTTCGCTGTCACTCGAGAAAACCTCCAGTAAAGGCTTTAATTGTATTTGCAGCTCGGGCATCGTCCCGCCTGTAGATTGTTGTGATTGGTTGTTTTTAAGAAGGCTTGAATTTTAGGTCCTGTGATTGGTCGAGAGAGCTTTCTGTTTTGGTCGCCTGCCAGCGGCCGTCTGGAAGGGGAGGGGGCGCGTCTGCCTTCCGCTTCTAGGCTGGAGGATTGACACACAATGAGGAGCGGAGGCTGGGGAGACGCTCTACAAACACCGCTGTAAATAAATACAAGCACCCCTGAGGCCGGACGAACATGGAAAACCAGGTACAGTGGCTTTTATGTGTTCTCGCGTAAAAATGGCAGCCGGCAGCGTGGCGCCGGCAGGGCAGGAGTGAATGCTGTGTTGTGGACGCCAGAGGAGAGAAAAACGCTGCTGCTGCTAATGAACTCGTAGTTGTTTGGCTCTGGAGCTATGCTAACTGGCCACTCATACATCGGTATTTACCGCTAGCGGTAGCTTCAGTCTGCCTCAGCATTCAGCTCCATTGCTGCAGAGCTGGACCACACAAAGAGTCTCACAACATATTGTTTTATTCCACTCTAAACGAGCTTATACACTCACTTGGACCATTTTCAATTGAGTTATATTCGGAGCTAAGCTAATACAGCTAGCTCTTCTACCTTACAGGAGAGAGGCGGCCGTTGGCTAAAGGCTAAGGAGCCGCTACAAGGCGCCGGGGAAAGGATTTGTCCTCCAGGTTGGGCTGGAGTGGCGGGGTGGTGTCTTTGCTGCCAGCGGTGTAAAACCAAAGCATATTCACTAATGATAAGAATGGCACAAACTAAACACTTTTTAAAAAATGTATATTTGTTTTTAGGCGCAAACCTGGCAATTTGTGCACTTCGAAGGCACCACATTGATGATTGTGCATGGAAAAAAAATGCATGTAAGCATGGTGGGAAAGCTGACAAATCCTATGAGTATGCAAACGTTGAACTTGAGTTTAGTGAACAATCTGAACAATCTGCTAATGCTGCTGCTGATATACAGAGGCTTCAAATAAATCAGCAATATTTACTATTTACTATTTGAAACAGTGTGCAGGAATTTCTTATAAAATCACAACATAGTCATACAAAGGCCTCTTGTCATCTTGAATGGATCACTTGGAGTGTGTATAATGATCCTGCCCTTTACCTGTTTTTTTTTAATTATCATTTGTGATAAGCTGTTATAACATTCTCTGATGATGATGTTTTGTTTTTTGAAAACTGCATCAGTGTGAAAGGTTTGATCCACTATGACCCAAATGCTATGGGTTGGTGTTTGCCAGTTGTTGTTTAAATTGATGTCCATGTTCAAACAGCTGATTTGGTCATGGCTCACTTGTTTTTCTTTATTAAATCCCTGACTTGTATAGATATTACGTGGTTCTGAGTTGATATAAAAGCCTGTCAGTCACTGATGTGAAAGCAAATGAAAAGAAAATTGATATCTCACAGCTTAAGTTATAAGTTGGCATATTTAGCAACACTGCACGTCGCATTTTCTTCCATTAAAATTGATTTGTTTATTTCTGAAGTTATCTTACCAACATCAGTTTAAATTAGTGTAAGAATCTATTTCCACTCAGATTGATTACAATACCAACCAAATAACAGCAATACACAGTTAATAAATCTGGCCAAAAACATTGTATGCCACCCAATTATAGTATTTTGCAGTACAGAGAGAGCTGTTGGCCCTCAAGTTGTTTCGCATTATTGAATCCCTCTTTGGAAAATAAGTCTGGGTATCCCTGCTTGAAAGCTTGCAGGAACATGGGCTCTCATTTTATACTTCAGCATGCCCAATTATACTCAGCAAAGATTTATGTCCCCATTAAAAGGTACATAATTTATTTTGCAGGAAAACAGGAAAGTGGGTAAACTAAATTACACATCTACTAAGTATAAGGCTGATACAGCTTCAGTGTACTCTCCGAATGCTTGAGGTTCCCTAGGACCATATTTCAGATGGTTAGGCCACACGCATGTGTACACACACACACACACACACACACGGAAAGTGGCTCAGCCACTCTTGGAACTAGTCCCCATTCAGCCTCTGGTCCCCTTTGATCTTTTAACTAGATCTGTGAGTGTGAGTTTAGTGGGATTCTTCTCTTTTGGGTGAGGACCTGCTTGTCATCTGTGTTGTGTGCGCATGATTTCCATTACCATTGTTTTCATTTTTATATGCAGCTCACTAAATGGTTAATGTTTTGTGACAACTTGCTGAGAATAATAATAATAATACATTTAAATTCTGATAAAGCATCAAACAGTCCCACTGTGCATCCTGGGTCTCATAGATGTTCTTATGACAACAAGTCTGATCTACACTGTATCAGTCTGGTTTGTGTAAAATAGTTTCTTGGTCACCAATACATTTTTTAGGATATTATTATTATGTATTTATGTATTTATCAGATAGTTTCTATTTTATTTAAAAAAAAATAGAAAAAGCTGAGAATAAATTGGTGTGGAAATCGTCATCGATTCTACAGTTAGGGAAGGGATTTTTATTGTTTCTTACATGAAAGAGAAAAAGGTGCATGTTTTTATTCTGCAGTCTGAGTCTTTAGGAAATTACAGCTATAAAAAAAGTTTAAAACAGAGCCCTCATAGAACACTCTTTATATTTCTGCTGAACAATTATTTGGTCCATTACGAGAGAATGTTTGGATAGTTTTTACATGATGGAGTTAAAGCTAAAAATGAGAAGTCCACAGTTGAGTCAGTCTTCTCCACAGTCTACACAGTAGAATGGAGAACCAATATGATGAGCTACGGTGATGAAGATTACCACAATTGCTTCATGTTGTTCATTTTAATTGGGAACAGCCCGTTTGATACAATATGTAATTAAATAAAAAACAGTTTGGGATCTGTCAACACACCCCAAATGGATGGTGGAACCTTGTGTAATTGCTTTGCACTAAATGGCTTTGTTAATTAAAATTTTAATGTAAATGAGATTGTTCTGACATCGTTGGCAGATTAAAAAAAACTGCACCTTCAACTGTGCTTTAACAAACATCATCATTCCAGCTTCCCAAGTTATGAATGTCACCTGTGTTATTGTTTCAGATTAGGATAGCAGGACTACGCAGATTGGTGTATAAACACTGCAGTTAGAATGGCACACTCACTTACACACCCTTATTGCAGTACTCACTGTTTTCCTTGGGTGCTGCAGACAGGCTATTTATGACTCCTCTGTGACTCTTCAGTATTTATCATTTTTGCAGTATCCGTTGATACCAAGTCATCTTTCATGTGTGTACAGTATTGCTCAGACTGGTACTAAGTCGAAAAACTCTCTGAAATCGAGTTCCAGGTAATTGAGTATCCATTTAAAAAGATGAATATGCGATAAAGGGTGTTTTTTCCGTGTCAGCTTGAATTTCATTGTCTGCATGGGAGCCGCTGTGTCTGCCAAAATTTGTATTTGCCCATATTTGGATCACTCCGTGTGGGGCAGAGATGACAGAAATGCATCCTCTCAGTGTTGGTGGCGCTTCCCAATTTATTTTTGTATCTCCTGCATTGCCTCTAGTTAGCAATGGTTAAATGTGTTCTCTCTTTGGTACAGAGTTATGGTTCCAAGAAGGGACTTGCGTATTTTGCTATAGTGATTCTGAGTTGTGGGACGGACTTGCGTATTTTGCTATAGTGATTCCGAGTTGTGGGACTTTTTTTTTTTTCCTCTGGTACTCGTCTAATTCTTTGTCACACATACGTAGGAGGATATAAACAGTTGTCTCTTCTTTGTGTGATCTTAAGGTAAAAAAAACGATCTTTAAAGTTTGAAATTTCGAAATTGTTATTAGTGTGTGAAATTGTAAACTGAAATCTAACTTGATATACTAATAATAATTGTAATAATGAAATGTAAAACAAAAGGGAAATAATGCTGTTAATCAGAATACACACCCAGTTTTAAGCGTTTACTGACTTTGCTCAACTGGTTCGTTGGTTTTGTCACAATTTACAAAGTCAGATTGTTTTCTGTTCCTTGACTCGGTGTCCGTCCTGACTTCATGTTGCCCCTTTCACATCCCTGAATTTGTGAATAGCTCGAGGATCAAGCGTGAATTGGAGGGGAGTGGGTGGGGGTTAGTGGAGCTCCATGACTGCTCGCAGTGGGTGTGGTGAAGTCTGGAGTTGAAGGGCATTCCTTCCACAGAATGGCCGGGCCGAATGCCAACCACAGGAGGTGTGTGCGTGTGCACGTGTGTGTCTGTGTGTGTGACTGAATGTGAGAAAGTTAGTGTGCTACAGCAGCTCATCTCATTCCTGTCTCAGCTAATCCCTTAAATCACTCCCAGGGACAAAACACACACATTTTTTCCGTCCTACCATGGACATGAAGTGCTTGTCCCCTCTCATCATCTCATCATACACTCACACACACACCTTCTCGTGTTCTTTTCACGTCACCATTGCTTCATTACAGTGACTGTCCTGTTAAACTTGTAGTAGTCTGTAAGTGATCGGGGGAAAAGGAGGTTGTTTTTTTTTCTCTTTTTGGTGATTCATCAACTACTGAATTAGTCAACATTTATTTTTAAATATTGGCTAATAACATTGTGTGGATTTTTGTCCTGTGGCACTTCAGCATGGATGTGTGCTAGTATTATTATTATAAAACATGATTCATGTAGTATAAAATAATTATTAGCTGATTATTGTTTTGTATGTTTTCACGTGCCAAGAGCTCAAAAGATATAGTATATTTCTACTATATCTTGTTGTAATACTTTAACAACAAATAGGCAGTTCGTAAAGGAACGTCTATACAGGCTAGTTTTAAAACAGGTTCTACAGACTCATGGAATTGAAATGACTACTTTAGGGGATAAGATTAAGAGGGAAATTAATGAAATTTGCACATCTCTAACCAGAAGGTTGATTAATTATTCTATGACTTTCTATTTTTGCCAAAGGCACCAGAGTCATTTGTATAAATTAATTATATTAATGAATTAATGAAACACATTGTGTAAGCAATGAAGATGACTGCTCTAAAACTGGATCATAATAGCTGACACATTTTATTGCAATGGCATAAATTGCTCTTGCAGTTTAAAAAGGACACATTTCTTTTTTTCAAACCCTTCTGTTCAGGAAATGTACAAAATCTAGATTGTGGTAGAAGTTGTCTCGGCTCTTTCACAGTTCTCTACTGTTACACATGCTGCTCTAATAGTGTCTTGCCTTAATATTGTGTTTTAGTTTGCATAGCTAAAGGTTAAGTACTCTATGAAGACTATGTTTTAATGCTGTTAAGCTCTAAGCCATAAATGCATTTTATGTTTCTCTTAAACAGTGCCAAAAAGGTCAGTGTCGTCGTGATAAAGACCATCATCTCAGATAATAAACTAAACCATAAATGTGGACTTTAAGTTGATTGACTCTGGTGTGATCTTTCCAGTGCACAGTTGAGGTAAAGCTAGAGTTGGGTCACAGAGCCCAGCTGAGGAAAAAGGTGACATCAGAAGGTTTCACCCACGACTGGATGGTGTTTGTCCGAGGACCAGAGACTGGTGACATCCAGCACTTTGTAGACAAAGTCATCTTCCGCCTACATGAGAGCTTCCCAAAACCCAAGAGAGGTAAGATCACCAGGCTGCGTTTTTCTTATTGTGTCACTTATAGGATGAGAAAGACACAAATAACAATAATGTCTTTCTAATTTATTATTGACACTGTCTCAACCTGTCCAAAAATATGACGGCATGTAACTTTATATGCACACCAGAATCAATAATCTTAATTCCAGGTGTGTCCTTATACGAGACACTTAGGTAGAAGGCATTCATCACTTGTAAAATAATCCATCGTAAAACCTGTATCGTTATTTGCATGTGTAAATAATTTGCTTTGACAACTGCAGCAAGAGAGCAGACAAATGTTCATGAAATTCCCTGTCATTCTATCTGAATGAACAATGCATTAGGACCAGCTGAATCCCTTTGAAAAGTTCTTTATTTACAGAATATAATCTCTTTATTTTGAGGGCTTTTAAGGAATGAAAATGGACTAATGGATTTCTGTGTGGGTTCTTATTTTACTATTAAGGCACGTTTTCTGTGATAAATAGTGAAGTGGTCAATTTCACAGTAGTCCAATGCACTGTTATTCCAGCAGCCAACACACAAGTACAGTACAGTTGCATTTGTTGCCATTCAGATGTTTGTGTGTGTTTGTAGTATGCAAAGAGCCTCCGTACAAAGTGGAAGAGTCGGGCTACGCAGGCTTCCTTATGCCGATTGAAGTTTATTTCAAGAACAAGGTAAGACCAATTGACAAACAGCCGGGGATTTAATAAAAAAAAACTTTTTATGTATGTATGTGTGATAGATGGGTTCTGTAAGATGAAGCAGGAAAAAAAGACATGAAGCTGAGTCGGAGAGTTGAAAATGCTAAAGTTTTTTTTTACTGCATTATAATGATGTTTTTCAATAATATTGCATTTCAACCATTATTATAACTCACTGTGTTTGAGAAACTCGTTCTTTAAGTTCTTTCCACGACCGTATCCTCAGGACTAATTTGATCACATTTTATATTTCTGGCCTTTCTCATAAAAGTTGCTTGTTTCTATTCAGTTCCATAGTCACATGTTTGTTTTATTGACCTTGGTAACACTTCATTCAGCTTTTATCTCCTCTGGTCAAACATGTAGGTATTTCGAGGTGATTAAATGTCACACAGAAAGACAAATAGCTTTGTGTCCAACAAGCTGTTACAAAAGTGAATGAAGTAACATATTAACTTAGCAATTGAACTTTATCCCCCTGCAATACAGGAGAAGCCAAAGAGGGTGTGTTTCAACTATGACCTCTTCCTTAACTTGGAGGGAAATCCCCCGGTCAACCACCTGCGCTGTGAGAAGCTCACCTTCAACAACCCCACCAAAGAATTCAGGAGAAAGCTGATCAAAGCTGGAGGGGTGAGGAAGACAAATACAGACGGGGAGGATGAGCTGTAGAGACCATTTACTCTGGGTGTTATTTTTGCTCCGCTGGCCTGTATGAAATTGTTGACATTTCATTAGAACATACCAGACCCTGCAAACATCATCAGTGCTGCACTAAACAGTAATTGTCCTTTACAAAGAGACACATTTTCTATAAAAATGCATTGCTAACTTCATTTTAAGAGATTGTAACATAACAAATTATAATTTACTTCAGGATTAAGGAATGTCTCAAAAAATTATTATTTATATAACGATGGTCCCATAATGTAGCAGTTAGCATGCCTGTCTTGCAGGCAGTGAGCAGAGAGCCCTGTGTTTGTTTCCCAAAGGAACCACATATCCTTAAGGATATGTGGTTCCTTTGGCGCCTCCTGTGGTCGTTTACAAAGAATCACACTAAATTTCCCCATTTTGGACAAATCAGGAATTCAGTTATTTTTATTATTATAATTATAATTATTATTATGTTTGTATTTTCCTACCCAATGGTGACTATCACATGCCTGATAGTTAGATGGATGTATTTGGCCTCAGATTTTCCTCCTGATCAACTTGTCTCTCGTTTACTCTGACCCTTTTACTGCATTTGTGGCTTTTAAATCTTGAGTGAGAAGTGCCTAACAGTAGATGCCTTCGTCATGAATGTTCCCACCACACCAGATAGCTGCAACCTTGGAGTAGTCTACTCAAAATCGAATCTTTTTTTGTACCATCTGTATCTTCTCTCACGTAATTATGACAAACATGAGTCTGTAGTTCATCTGACGATCATACTGTGTAATAAGAACAATACATCAATATTTTTATAACAGTCGTTTTTACAGGACGTGTGAATGTGACCTCTACCTTTTATTAAAGTTTACACTGGGATTTAATTTCAGGTACTGGTGGTTCCAGAAGGGGCTGAAAATGTGTCCAGACCCAGTCCAGATTACCCCATGCTGCCCACCATCCCACTCTCTGCCTTTTCAGATCCTAAGAAGACCAAGACCTCTCATGTCTCAAAGGTTAGTTAGTTAACTGACATGTCGTTTATTTTTGATTTTTGATTTTGATTTTTTTAAAATCTGAACATGAGATATTGCACACAATGTCATCTGTCCCAATGTCAGGAGCTGACAAAGGGGTTAAATACTCACCAAGGGGCAGAGCAGACACTGCTCTTCTTGATTATAAATACTCACCAAGGGGCAGAGCAGACAAAGGCACTGGGAACACTGGGTTCAACCTGTTAAAAAAAACAATTTAAGAGGAGAAAGTCGTCTCTTTAGAATGAGCTGACTCGGGCTTCTAGCCACTGCTACTACAGTATAGCATCTTTATGCATTCATGCAAAATCACTCAACAGGCTTATCTATCAGGAACAAAGACCTCACTGGCCTCCTTCCAGGTTTTCAATGTTATCACTGTTATTCTATTAACTCTTATCAGGCCTGTGCTATGTTGAAGTTGTAATTCTGTTCTGGCAGGTATTCTGATACATTTTATTTAGCTCCCCAGTCAATAAAGTGTGAACTGTATTAGTGTTTTTGAAAAAGGAAAAAAAAATCTTGAGCCTCTTATTGTGATGTATGATAAGTAGGGGATAATTAGTACAAGGATAAGAACTATTAAGAGCCACTTTACAGCTAACCTACAGTCTTTGAATCTTTTAATTATAATTCATATCAGGTACAGTATGTGTGTGCCTGTGTGTGGGTGGACAGTATGGACATGCAAATATTGAAATACCATCTCTGGTGTACTCTTCTGTTAAATACCATCTCCTACAGTTTTCATGGGTTTGTTTACACACTTGTGCTGAAAACCTGCTGGGCTAACTGCTTTTGTAATGAAAGACTGTGCTCATGTTACTGAGGCTGGCCTCCCTGTGGAGGATATTTGTCTCCCTCAAACAATCATGTGGAAGTTCCCGATTTGGCACAAGCACATTAGGTAATCGTTCTTCTTGATTAATCTATCTTGTAAAATTACAGACACCATCGTGTTGAACTCCTTTACACCGAATTGCTGTATATTGTTATATAGATTAATATTAGCAACCCTCTGCAAGATAGTTCTGGCAGCTACATGATGGTTCCTGGGTTAAAAGAGATCTGAGTAAAAACTGCCTTTTCCCTAATTTCCTTAGTTTAAGGTTGATGTGCTGTTCTGACGCCAGTTTTGTTTGTTGTTCTGCTTGTCCATATGTCATCTCAGTTTTGCTTCTTTCCCATTTTTCAAACATAAAGAACTAATTATTTTTTTGGAAAACCCGGTCTCCCGGGTCGACCCGGTCCGGAGACCCAAAGCTCAACTTGAATTCCATTTATTTTTGAAAGAAAAAAAATCCACAGGAATTAAAAGGGCTTCAGGGATTTATACAATAACCCAAAGAACATAAGCTGGAGTTTTCCATCTCATTCCACATTACTGAATCTACGGAATTCTTCAACCGCTTTTAACTATTTCCTCCAAGTCCAAAGGCCACCTTTCTTTTGTCATCATAGGGGATAGTGCCCTCTTTTGGCCATAAAAGTCTCTTAGGAATGTAAGTCCGGACCAGCCAAACTACTACACTTTACACTCAGTATAATCTGAATGTACAATATAACTATGTAACTGGGTGTTTATGTCTTTTCTTTTAGTTACTTATATAAATGTCTACACTGGGAGAATCACTCATTAATTTTTGGGCTGTTTTTTTTTTTCTTCGTGAAGGAACCCAACAAAGAAGGGAGCGGTGGAAGCAAAGTGCCCAAACCGCACAAGTTGACCAAGGAGCATCGAGAACGTCCAAGGAAAGACTCAGAGAGCAAAGCAACCACGAAAGGGGACAACAACAGAGATGTAGGCAGCAAAGGTGGCCGAGATCCTTCCTCTTCCTCATCCTCGTCTTCGAAAAAGCCCCCTGAGATTAAAGTGAAGGATGAAGTCAAGGTCCTGCCAAAGGCCGCTTTCAAGGAGCCCAAGCTCACGCTAAAGGAGTCAAAGATGGAAGGCATGTCTCCTAAAGGTGGGGGGGCTGGTAGCGGAGGAGGTGGCGGTGGAGGAGGAGGAGGAGGTGGAGTAGGTTCGGCAGAGTCAAAAGCCCCAGGTAAAAGGCCATCGGCTGTGGAGTCTCCAAAGCCCAGTGCAAAAAAGCAAAAGAAGGGCAGCTCTGAGGGACCAAAGGGAACGACCAGTGGAGCCTTCACTGGAACATCTCCTCGTGTCTCCTCTTCATCTGCTGCTAATCAGCCCTACGCCGAAAAGAAGTCCTCCAAGGACAAGGGCCGCTGGCTCAAATTGAAAAATGAAACACAGGAGGTTAAAGAGCCCAAGAAACCGCCAGAGTCAGAGGAGTCAAATTCAGAAGATGAAGCTTCTTCGAAATCAGAGGTACAAAGCAGTGACTTTATAACAAGTTGTTGATTTTCTACAAGAAATTAAAAAAAAAAAGTTGTCAGTCAACAATCATTTTTCATCATATTTTAGTTTTAGTTCCGTAGTTAAAGTTATTAATTTATTATATATTAATGTGTTTGCTGTATGCATTAAAAAAAAAGATGTCTCTTTCAGTTTCTGACGTGACTTGGTTTCTTCTACTTCTCTTGCAGCAGTCGGCCCCTTCCAGTCCTTCCATCTCCAGTTCTAGTTCTGACTCCAGTTCAGACTCAGACTTTGAGCCAGGACAGAAACAAGGACAAGGTACAGGTCATGTTTGGGGTTAAATTGAAAATTGAAAAATTAAATGTTTTTTGAATCTTTACAACCTAAATTGAGGTTAATTTAAAAAAAATGTCCTTGACCAAAAAAGTTCAGAGAAAATTTAGACATCTTTCTTGAAAGGTTATATTTTTTTGTCTTATTCTGTCCCAGGCCCACTACGCTCCATGGTGGAGGAGATCCAGTCTGAAGAGTCAGATGATGACGACAGCAGTTCAGAGGAGGAGACCCCCATTAAGACCAACCCACCTAACCGTGATTCTCGGTAAGTCTTCTTTGAAACCCCTTGTGAAGCATGGTGGTAGGAACATCATTCCTTGGGGCTTTGTTTTGGGCCTTGTTTTCTCTAAACTAGAAAGTGGAGATCTTTATAACAAGATAATTCATAATAGTTAAGGCATTAACCATCCGGGTGAAAAGGTCTTCGAAGAAGAGACTTCCTTTTGCAATGTAATAGTTTTGCAGAGCATTAAATTGTGTGTTTATAACTTTGTAATCACATAGTAATAATTATTTGTTATTATTGAGTCAACAGTTGCCAACCGTTGACTCAATAATAATAAATAATTGTTGACTTTTTATATCAACAGCACTTTATATACACAGTCAGGTCAGGTGATGCTGAAGTCACGTCTGACTGGCTGAGCAGAACGACATTGGGCTCTGCCTCGTTAGTCTGCGTGTGATTGACCTGTAACCTCACCTTTCCCCCTCCCAGACTAAGCCTGGACAGCGAGAGTGACAGCAGTGACGGCTCGCACCGCCCCAGTCGAGACCCCGCTCCACCCCCACAGAAACACAGCTCCTCTATTAACAAAGTAAGTCACACAGACACACTACAGCTCCTCTATTAACAAAGTAAGTCAAACAGACACACTCTCTCTCTCCCTCCCTCTCTCTCTCTCTCTCTCTCTCTGTCACACACACATTTCATTTAACTGACTACGCTCACTGACTGTCTGAAAGGGCCTGGAATCAATGCTCTGGGAAAAAAAGTTTAAACAACAGACAGGAATTGAGGAATTGTTTATTTGTTATTTTTATTGGTTTCTTTCCTACTTACTGACAAACCCAATTGTGTGATATTGTTTATTTTTTAATTTTACTGAATCTCTTTCCACAGTACTTGTTCATATATATATTGAAATGTATTATCTTATTTTCTTTTTCAACCTACTTCCGTACTTGGAGATAAAAATGCGCCGATACACATACATTTGTTCTCAACTCTCAGAAGTGATTATTATTATATCTTAGTTGTTAAGTTTAACCAGCAACACTGGGCCCTCATAGGTTTGTGTAGGAGTTTGTGGAATCCTGTGTTCTCACCTCTGTTCTTTTTTTTTTTTTTTTTTTTTTTTTTTCCCTCAATCCTCCTCCTGTGTCTGTTCTGCAGGTATCAGGCAGGAAGAGTCCAGACTCCTCGTTTCGCTCAGAGAAGGTGTTGAAGAAGGGATACGACAAGGTAGGAAGGGTAAATCAAACTTTTTTTGCTTTGACTCTCACACATGCACATGTAGTTTTTGTTTGTGTTTTTTTGTGTTGTTTTTTTCTTCTCTTTTTAATCTTTGTTCAACAAGCACATTAATGAATTCAAAATGCCGGGCATGGACAGTGACTAAATCCAGATGTGCACACAGTCTTTGGCCTATGAACTCTTGTAACAGATGATTGGAGTAGTTGCAAAACAACATCTGAACATCTGCAGAGTTTAATAGTAATGAGATATGTGACGAGTGATGACTTTGAAACACACACTGCTAAAATCTGCAGTATAGCTTTATTCACAACAGAAGGCTGAACTTACATTCTTGATGTTGTGCCTATTTATAGAGCTGCTCAAACAAAGTTAAAAATGTATACATAAATATTGGCCTTTTTAGTGTTGTACAAAATTTTACCCTTGAGATCATATTTGTATGGTAACACTGAAGTTGTTTTTAAACACTGGACTCACTGTGTTCAACTCTATTAATTCTGCTGCCTTTACTCTTCAGGCCTACACAGAAGAGCTGGTAGAACTACATCGCAGGCTGATGGCTTTAAGAGAGCGTAACGTCCTACAACAGGTCTGTACTCACATTTTAATATTCCAAGTCACAGAATTTGGATTGGCACTGTTTTCTTGTCATTTTGGTCACGCAATAAACTTCTTAGAGTTGACGTCGATGCAGCTTTTATACTGAGGTACCATATTGCTGAATTTCTAAAGTTAACTTTGGCTTCCCCCTCTCATCTACAAGATTGTGAATTTGATCGAGGAAACGGGGCACTTCAACGTGACCAACACCACCTTTGACTTTGACCTCTTTTCACTGGACGAGTCCACTGTTCGAAAACTACAGAGTTACCTGGAGGCGACGGCCACGTGACAGGAAGTGGGAAGTGGAGTGTGGACGGCAGCGCTGGTGGACGTGAACTTGCCTTTTTCTTCTTGCCTCTAAGGAGACGAGGAGCAGTTACTACATCTGTCACTGCTGCTCCACAGGTCTGACTGAAACCTTGAACAAATCCCACACAGACAGGAAGTCACGGTCAAACACAAGCACACTCAAAGACATGACACCTTCACACATCGCTGTGGAGGAAACGGAAAGAGGAGGCCATCTTGTGGAAGGGAGAAGTGGAGTAGTTGATATCCATCTACAGTCAGGATTCTTAGCACACACACTCAAACACACACACACACACATCCTAATTTTGAGCTGTGGACTTTTGCATTCTTCTGCACTTGTACTGCTCCTGCCTTAGCAAACCAAACTTTTTTTTTCTTCTTCTCCGTCTTCTTTTTCTTCTTCTGCTTTTACTTCCACCTCCTCACAAACATTTTTTGCCCAAACACTCCAGAACCCTTCTCCTTCTGTCAGCTGGAGCTCATTTCTCTCCCCACGACACTGTTTAAGTCCTGGTTGTGTGTGTTTATATGGTGTGTGCGTGTGTGCATGCTAGCACTGCGGAGGTTTGCAAAGAGATGTTAATGTTTGTGGTTACTGACTTCACTTTGTTCGTGACGCTCCAGGACAAACAACAGCTGGTTCCTCTCCCTCCCTGAACACACACACACCACAAACAACAGTATACATTCACATACTGTACATTCAGGTTACACTTTACTTTAACCCCTTATCCGAATGAAGTATTTTCAGCACTGCATTAATTAAAATAAATGTTTTACTTGTTTTCAGCACACTAAAATGTAGTTGAAATACGGCAGAAATATATTTTTATCTTTGTAGATGTTTGGTGTCAGAATAGAAGAAAACCTTGGTTTTTGAAAGAAATTCTAGGATTTAACTGATTTGGTGTCTGACTGGTCGCCTTGTGGAAGAAAGTCTCAATATTACTTGGGGTGAATTAACCAGCAGTACTTGAAAACTTCAGTATCTTCAGAGAGTGGATTTCTGGCTAAACACTACCTGTTGATGTGACTATAAACTGACATTAGCATACTTGAAGTTGGCTGTTAGCAGCATATTTATGGCAGCAAACAACAACAACAACTAATTCATCACTTTTTATCACAAAACTGTTATGTAGATTGGGGAGGGGGGATTCCCATTATAATTTAAAGAAATACTTATTTGTGTTGCCTTTAGTTTGTGTTTTTTTTTTTTAAACCATATATCAGCCTTATTTATGCTATGATGTCACAGGTACATAGTGCAACAAATCATAGGAATAGAGACAACAACAATTCCATTCCATTTTTTTTGGTCCGTCTTTCAGTATAAGTAAGAGATATCAGGTTTTTGATTTTTTAATAATAAAATAGATAATGCGCCTCAGTCATTAAACAAAGTTTAAACACAGGAAGTTTTATTCATCTGAATTGGGTTCTACATTTTGGACAGTTTACAACAGGACTCTGTTATTTCCTATTGTGCCTTTAATTATTATGATTTAAAAAAAAAAGATGGCTGCATCTCTGCAGAGAAATTACTTAACGGATCACTTCCACCTCTTCTTACCTCACACACATTTAAACTAAGCACTGTTCTAAAGGTTCTTATACAAACTGTTCCAGAAGAGGGAACAATAGTGTGTTCATCCATGTGTGGTCTGCACCGATGCTAAATAAAATGTTAATGCTGATTAAACACTTTCACACCAGTCTAAAATTAAGATGTTTTAGGCAGTGATTTAAAATAGATATTTTTCATTGTAAGCAAATTAGTTGTGACTTTTCTTCCCTTATTGTTTTCCTTATTATTTATTCCTACCAATATATGTCTATAAGGCTCATCACTTTCTGAACATAAATTAGCATTAAATGGACACAAAGCAAAAGTAGAAAGGATTAGCTGCCGCTTTTGTTTCTCATGGATATCTTTTCATTTAGACTTGAAAAGAGCTGAGAAATAATGTCATCAACTACATTAGAGTGTGTGTGTGTTTATTTGTTACACACTTTATGTTCTTACCGCACTGTTGGTGGGGGTTAAAGGAAAGTGACATCCAGGTTGGTGCATGTTTGTCTTTCTGGGCCGCTACTTTACACTGTACATAATGGTGTGTGTGTGTGTGAGAGAACAAGTGTTTGTGTGTTTCAGATGAGGTGTCGATCTGCTCTCTGAACATCTGTAAAGTTGTGTTCCGTTACTTTCCCCAGTCTAGTTCCGCGCACTGAAAGCTGAGTTTGACCTCCTACCAACAGGCCCTCCACCCCTCCTTCTCACTGAGGCTCCCCCACTCCATCCTTTGTCTCCTCAACCTCCTTTATTCACACATTGGCGTGCATGAAAGGGCTCGGCTGCTCCTGGCCAAAGCAGTGGAGGATCACTCCTGAATTGCCTTCTAAGGGGTGAGTTTAATAATAAAAAAAAAAAGCCGTGGAAAAAAAAAAAGAGTAGCCATAACTTTTCTCCCAGAATCCAAAAAGAGGGAGGAAAAAATAAAATAATAGGGGCCACTTTTTCTTTTTTTCTTCAACATTTTATTTTTCTACTTGTACATTTTGTGTATTTATTCCCAGACTTTGATCAAAATGCCCTGTGAGCTATGAATGTATATGGCTTTTACTTTTCTACAGCTTGCAACATCCCCTCTCTCTAGTGCCTTCTTCTGCAACTTGCAGTGTGAGGCGGGTGGTTTTTCACTCTTTCAGCCGTGGACACGCAGAATGAACCCAGCCATCCCACCCCCTCTTAACAACCCCCCCTGTTCCCCCATCCTGTTTCAAGTGGGATGTTAAAAAAAAATCCAGTATTGTCTTAATGCTTTTCCTGCTCCTTCTCTTCCACTGTCCTGTAGGCTGTTGTCCAGTTATTTAGCTGTTTCTCCTTGAACGTGTCAGATTTTCATCTCCTTTCTCTGACAGTTCAGACTCGATGCTCTTCAAAGATAGTGTTGGACTGACTTTGGTGGTAACTCAGCTACAGAACCAGTCGCATTTGTTTTGTTTGGGTTTTTTTTTTTTTTTTTGGCGTAAGATCCGGGTTTACTGTCAAATATGGTTCAAATTCTCTCTTCAGGTGTTTGACAAGACACTGCGGTGTTAAAGTGTCTTTCCCACTGCAGAGTACCAGTACCTTTGGAGTACTGCGAACCTGTTTCCAGGAGATATTATGATTTGAATTTTTAATTTGGTGGCGTGCTTTTCTATGGGGGCTAGAGCACAATTATGAAAAAGTGTTAATGAACCCTTCCGCCCTGATCGTCATGATTATTTTGAGTTCTCTGTCAGTACTCTGTCAGGTTATACTGTACACACCACGTGTTAGCTGTATCATGAACAAATTTGTAGGCATGAAGCTGTCGTGTCAGTGCCTCCACAGTAACGGTCCAGTGTGTGGCTAAGTTTAAAGAATTTCTCGACCAATCAGGATGAAAAAATATCCAGAATCGGAACTGCTTTGGTGCCACAAAGTTCCCATTAGTTCAATTTTAGTTTGTGGTCTCACTGTTACCGTCTGGTACTTCTTCCTGCAGTGGGGACATGCATTTTGACACCAGAGTCCTGTTCATAAATGATATTTACATTCAACCTAAGTGAACAAATCACTCAGGGCAGATGTTCATACAAGGTCTAAAGTGCAGGCCATAGACCGTACTGTGCAGAAGTTTCAGGAGGCTGCGTTTGAGATCCCCTCTGCGGTTTTACAGCCTTCGTCTTTATTTAATATTTAAAGAAAATGTGAAGAACCACGAGTTGTCGACCGTTGACCACCGTCTGTGATAATAACAAAAAGAAACACAAAGGGTTGTGCCTTCTGGACCACAAAGTTGTCAAGAATGGACTTTTGCTTCTCTGCATTTGCTCTAAATATTTAAACGGCTGATGAAAATTAAATGTATACACGCGTCAACAACTTCTGCAGAGTACAGTGTTAAAAAAAATCCTTGGCCTTGTACAGCCATCAGTGAACCAAATGAGACGACCTGAGGTGCTCTGCTGGTCTGTCTATCTCCAGAACAGACGTGCTGTATAATCTCTTGGATCTCTTTCAGACACTAGTGGAGCAGCTCTGTCTGGTCCAGGGCTTCTCCATGCAGCCCACAGTTTTTTATCTGTAGTTGTAGTTACACCTGACCGGGGTGTAGGTCGCCTTTGTGCATATTTTACAAAGAACATCTTTTATTGTGAATATGAGCTCAGTTAAACACTGATGGTGTTTAGTTTTTCCCCTCTCATTAAAGGGTACTTCTGTATCATGGTGCAGTAACAGTGGTTAATTAAACTAGACTGACTGCTGGTCTCATCAAGCTGGATGACTCTGAGTCAGAGTTAGTTTTATGAAGTCTTCTGATGTCAGCCCCTTCAAATGTCAGTGTGTTTTTCCTACAGAAGAAAATAATTGTCATTATTGATTTACATTTATAAAATGTTTCACTGCTCAGAGTTACTGTTTTTAACAAAACTTTTACACCTGTGGAAAGAAACACATCCTGTTGCCAGCTTTGTCAGACCAGGAGTCAGGATTATCAGTATTAATCTTAAAGCTCAGAACTTAAACTGTTTTCATGATTCAGGCCCTGCCGTGTTCCTGTGGCCCCTTCAGACACACACACACACACACACACTAAACCAAACCACTGTGGCACAGACCTTCAGTCGACGATTCCCTCCACACCTTCACTTCTCTTCAGTCTCAACTTTTTTTTTATTTCCGTTGACAGTGTTTGACTCTGTGATAGCTTTAATTCCTCTGCTCTCTGTCCCTTCCTCTCTCTCTCTCTCTCTCTCCGTCTCCCTCTGTCCTGCTGCTGCTCTCTCTGTGGCTCGGCCACATCTACATACTCCCTCTGACCTTACTGTAAACGCGGCCTGAGCATGGAAAATGTGTCTCAGCCCTTGAAAACAAAAAAAGCTGGATCTCTTCCACCTTGTGTGCCCTGCAGTAATCTCTCTTCCCTCTCTGCCTCTTCTGCAACTTTTTCGAGGTGTGCCTCTGCTCACACAACTTCAGAAACTTCAGGCCGTGATTACTGACAATGAACTTTTGCATCCGTGTGAGTGGCGTTTGTCTGTAAGCGTGTGTTAGTGAAAGGGGAGTGGGGGGGGTAGAAAACACTTTTTTTCCTTTCTGTCTCCGTCTCTGTACATCAGTGTGGGAACTTCTAAGTCCTAGTTCATGAACTCTGACCTTTGACCAGGCACTCATTCAGTCCCCTCCATGGTGTTGAAGAGGGGGGACTGGACTAAGACCCGCTGTCCACCCACAGTCAACCTTTTATTTATGGACCTCTGCACTTTTGGCTGTGATGACTTCTGTACTTGCGTAGTTACCTAAATTGTATTTTTAAGGATTTTATACAATATTTACATGCAATACAATATGAATTGATTTTTTTTTCTTTTGCCAAGTGTCTCAAGTTTCTTATTTAAGTGTCTTTACTTTGACAAGTTTGTTCACATTATTCACAGTCAAACGTGTCTGTTGAATGATTCTGATGAAAGCTGAAAACCAAGAAGCAGGTGATTTAAAAAAAAAAAAGTTTTCTGAATGAGCTAAACTTGATCACTCTCTGCCTCCAGTACACTGGGATTGGACCAGAACAAGGAAATGAACAGTCCACACTTGAGTTCAGGGAATTGACAACTGTTGAGCTACAACTGTTATTTTCTGTGTCATTTTCAGCAATGACTAATATTATGTTGTTGTTTTTTGTTTCTTTTTTTCTCATCTTACTCATGAATAGAAGGTTATACATGTAACACCAGAAAGAAAAACCTGACATCCTTTTAGCCTGACCAAATGCAATAATAGAACACAATAGTTTGGAAAGGCTCAGGAAGCTGTTTTTGTTTTTTTGTTGTTTTTTTTGTTTTGTTTTTGTTTCTTGACATATGCATCAAGTTACATGATAATAATTTAGTTTTGTTCTTAACTTCGCTGTTCTATATTCTTTACTGTTCTTCCTTACCTATTCTGCCATCATTACACATGTCTGATCAAATCACGGCCCCCCAAACAGTTATTGAGTACTGTTTAAGCCCGCACACGTGGCTCTCAGTATTCTAGAGTTCAAGATAATTATTTTCATCAGTCTAAAAAGCTTTTTAAAAAATCAGAAAATAATCCGATAATTCTAACTTTCATCCAAAGTTCACTTATTTTCAAGTATCAAGAGGATGATGAAGTATGAGTGTCAGTGACCTCAAATTTGAAAGTAACGTGTGATCCAACAGAGGGCACTCTTAAGCACCTCTCAGCCTAAGCTTCTTAAAAGAAAACAGGAAGGTAATGTTGTTTTGATGTTGGCCTCCTGAAGCCAGAATTTATCTTGTGTGAAGTTCAACAGAATCTAGAATACTTCCATAGTTTCACTCTTCATTCTTTGATTTTTCTCTTTAGGAAACACTAGGGGCCAGGACTTAAAGCTGTCGGCGTTATGACAAATATCATTTGTATATGTGGGATAGAGATTTTTTCCATATATATATTTTGAGGAAACAAAATCTACAAACCCCATGTTAGCTCAGGCTCTGTGTAACCGTCAGAAGAAGATCGTGCAGATTTCTTGGTAATGGCTCTTCAGAGACATTAGACATGTTTTGCAGATTAAAAAGATATATTGTTCTTTTGAAGTCGGCTTCGGTGTCACCAGGTGTTAGGAAGAATCCTTTTGAATTCTCTGTTGTTCTGACATTACTTCCTCGAGGCTGCAGCGGCTCACAACACTCAGATTTCAAATTGATTTAAGTCTTTCTCCAGGAATGATGATGGCTAACACAGTTTCCTAGAAAGTCAAACACGAGAGACTGTTTGAACAGATCTGTGCGAGTGGAACACTTCAGCTGTTTCAACCAGACCACCTCTAATGAGTGTGTAGTACATGTACGACAGGTTGAGTATCTGCTGTGTGGATCTTTAAAGGACGAGGATGATGCGTAAACCGTGGAGCTAATGGTTTGTTCTAAAACGAGCAATGGAGAGGGAGGGCAAAGGGGAGGGGGCATGTGCAGACGGGGTGTTTCCTGTGTCAGTGATCGTCTCATAATGTGTCTGTGACGGGGGACAGGGTTTCAGTTTCTTGTTGAAAATATTGGAACGATGGGGAGGGGGAGTCTGAGTTGTGTCCATTTGTGGGGTCAAGGATCCAAACAAGGGGCAGAGCAAATGATCTGGATGTCAGCAGAACAAATTGGTATTTTTAAGACTTGGCATAAATGCCACCATGTGGCCATATGATGCAAGTTGTTAACGAGGACAAACATGTTATTTTAATGTTATTTTTTATTTTGAAATCATATTATTAATAAAGTCATTAAGTACTGTCGTCCCACTGTGTCCTCTCACTCTCTGACCGCTGTGTGACCCAGTCATGGCAGAGTGGGAAAGTTCATGTAAAGTTCAGGTCTGCGGGGGTAAAAGGACAAGCACCAGGTCGTGTAACAAGGCTAGTGATGCATTGACCATTGATCCAGGAAATGTCACCTTAGGGAGAAGCAGTTATTGGCGAAAGCCAATCAATAAAGTTAGAATAAGTTCTATGTGAAGGCAGCATTTTGGTGTTCTTATGTTTATATATGTTTACACAAAGTGATTGAAGCTGTAGTACACAAGATGCTATGCAAAATACAGTCGCAGAAGTATTGGGAGAACGCTGATCTATATAGTATATACTGTGTATATTTACATGTGAAGAATGCACCCAGTAGGTGGCAGTAATGCAACTCAACTAGATTCAGATTTGCCCAAAAGGTTCTGGAGAAAAGCATGCTAGTGCACAGGATTGTACTAGTGCAATCACAGTGCCTTCACTGTCTTAACTGTCCACTGCTTGATTTGTAATAGTTTCAGTTCGTTCAAACCTTTCAAACTTGTGTTTTTTTGTTTTTTATTATGTTGTATGTTAATGTAGTGGAGCCCAAACCCTGGGTCCTGGGCACATGGTGGGCTACGTTTGTTATGTTGTTTCATCCACAGATGGTTTCTGAGGTGGATGAAGACATCATGCTCTAGACGGTGCAGAGGAAATACTTGCAGCAAGATACTAGTAAAGTTCTTCCAGGTAAAACAATTAATTATTCCAGAAAATCCTTCATGTTAATCAATAACAAGCACTGACGCTGCATGTGTTTTGCACATTTCTTTATTTGAAGCACAAAGAAAGACGACGTATATTCAATATAAATTCCATTTCTAGTATTAGAGAAACACAGATGCTGCGTCTGTCAGCTCGTTGAGCTTCATTCACATGCAGAAATTTTTCGTACAACAAAACAAATCCATTCATCTGCACAATTGTTTTGCGGTCTGCACTCTCTCTATTTCAGAGGCCGTACTTCGTCAAAGTTGGGCAGACTGGGTGTTGATGCGTACATTTTTCATCATTTCCTCAATCTTGTCTTTGTACATGTTCATCACCACCGGACGCTTCAGTTTCATGGTAGGGCCTGTGGAACAAGTAAAGAACTCACCGTTAACCAACGAGGACAGGTCAAGAAGTAACTAAAAAAACATCACTGTGACCAAACACAATGATAAAGACCGATGTCTGTCTACTGCTGTGGACACGTCCCACTCACCCAGTTCTCCACCAATCATGGAGAAGTCATGATCCAGAATGGTCCACTTCTGGATGCGTTGGGCATTAGACGTGGCCTTCTCGTTGACTCTGTTGATTCCCTCCTGAATGGCCTTGTTCACGGCCTGGTCTCGACCTCCTGCGATCTCTGAAACCTTTGTGGCGTTGCTGCCGAAGCTCCTACAAAACTGCACGGCCTCTGGAGTCAGATCGTCCTCTGGTTCTCCAGACTCTGCGTTAACCTGGCACTGTAGAGACAGGAACATGAAAACACCGAGGACGTTTTTTTCTCTATATATAAAGCACTCACATTTGCTCTATGTCCTTTTGGCCGCTAGATGGCAGTATTGGATATAAAACGCGATAGAAACTCCTCCGCTTCTGCTATTCCTAAAAGGACTTCGCCCCGAAACTGACATAAAATATCACGTTGGAAATATTACTTACTGGTTTATGAAGCAATATTACTACAAATACACATTGAAAAGTATTTTTTGTTGCATAGTACTCAGCTGTTGGTTTGTATGTCTCCAGATGTATTTATTTATATTTATAATATATTGCATTATAAGATGAACTGCTGCTTTTGTTTTTGTAAATCTCTTCTTGTGCACAGTGATGTTGCTCAGTGGTTGCAAGTAAAATAATAATCTGTGCTTTTACCTTAACAGTGAGCAGCATGGACAGAAACTTCTTCCTGTCTCCAATCAACATGGCGTTGCTGATCAGTGGCACTACCTCTTTGACTGCATCCTCGATGGGAACTGGAGGGATGTTTTCTCCTCCTGCTGTGATGATCAGCTCTGAAATTAAAATATCGTTACAGCCCAGTAACTCATATAAAACTCTGTAAGAGAGTTTGGAAGAAATAAGAATTAAACACCTTTAATTCTTCCGGTGATGTAGAGGAATCCGTTCCTGTCCTGTTTGCCCAGGTCACCTGAGTGCAGCCAGCCGTCTGCATCCACGGCCTCCTGTGTCATCTTAGCCATGTTGAGGTAACCCATGAAGACGTGTCGACCCCAGAAGCAGATTTCACCGATTCCCTCCTGGTCTGGGTTATAAAGCTTGGTCTTGCAGCCTGGGATCTCCTTACCACAGCTTTAGGCAAACATGTTTTCAGGATTACTACCTCCAGACTGAACGTACGAGAGTTTTTGTTGTTTATAATGGAAATTAAAATGTACCTGGTGATTCTGAAGGCAGTGGGGATTGAAATAGTATGAGGTCCGGAACATTCACTCATGCCGTACAGCTCGTATAGTGGGATATCCAGACTGAGGAAGAACTCCAGGGTGTCTCTGGAGATGGGTGCCGCTCCTGTGAAGCACTTTGTGCAGCGGTCCAGGCCCAGGGCACTTCGCACTCTTTTAAATATTAGCTTCTTGGCTATGTAATACGTGATTGGTTCGTGTCTGAGAGCTCCACTTCTGAAAAAAAAAAAGTGTGACGGTAAATTCTTGATCAGATTCCATGATATCAAACAGCCTAGAAACAAACCTAAGATTTTATTAGGTCTCTTGAGAAAATCTTCACACTATCTACTGAGTCTAGATGAACATGTGAACAATAAAACAATATTTAAATTTACACACAGGTCCATCTTGATGATGTTGTTCCTCAGTCCCACTCCTTTGGCCCACGCCACCACCATCTTTGCCACCGTGCATGACCTGGCTCCTTTCGCCTTCATCTTCTCTTGCATCTTTTCCCAAACACGAGGGACCCCCAGGATGGCAGTAGGACGAGCTTCCTGTAGAGTGTTTACCAAAGACCCCTGGTATGGAGACAAAGAAACATCACTACTGAAGGCAAGTAAATACAAAAATAAATAAATAAATAAATCATGCGTGTAATTAATCATGATTAATTATGATTAATTACCACTACCAGGTTCATAACTTGTTTCCCCTGAAGAAATAACAGCATTCATCCAGCAGGGTTTTTTTCCCCTGGACCTTTAGAACCTTTCTCTTCCCTCCTGCACCCTGCTGCCCTAGGTCAGAGACCATGCCCTGATTCACCTTCAGGGCATCTGGTTGGGCGAAGTAGGTGACTGCTCCGACCTTGAGAGCGATCCAGATGTCCACCATCTGAGCTGCGATGTGGCTCAGGGGTAGGTAGCTCACAAACACCTCCTGATTCTGGTTGGCTCTGTTCAGTTTTGTGTGACGGCTGACGGAGAGTGCGGTCCAAGTCAGCTGATGGGAACAACAGAGGAACAAACTGATACATGGTCCGCATGGACACAACACAAAAACAATTTAACATGCCAGATTTTCTGTTAATAGTTAATGAGTTAATAAGGGTTGTTAACCAATCACCAGGCCCCTGACTGTAAACATGTAAACATAATATAATTAGCAGCAGTAATCCAGTAGTGGTTCTCAAAATAGAGGGCGGCACCCCTTCCGGGCACAAAACGAGGTAGCGCAGCAAGGCAAACAAATTTTTATTATTACTTTGTTATTGATTTTCAGATAACACGTCTTTTGTGTTACTTTTCAGACTGTAATTGGACTGAATTGAACTTTAATTTTTTTTTTTTACTTTTTTATTAATTGAAAAAATCTATAAAGAGTAATTGCGGTACTTAACTTTAAACTTTAAATGCTTAAATGTCATTCAAATATGTGTGGTATGTTTTTGATTACCTTGAAAAACACGATTTAGTCGTGGAAACAAATGACTAAAAGACAGTTTAGAGGCTCGTCGACCTGTACAGCATGTAGATCTGTGTAATTTGCCTATAAACAAACCATCAGCATGTTTCTTCCACTGGTGTCAGGTGACACTCTCAGAGGGGTCACCCTCCTATGACCCCCCCCCCCCCGGGGGGTGCCCCCCCCCATTACCCCCCCCCCCCCCCACCGCCTGTGACTTACATTGTCATGGCTCAGCATGACTCCTTTGGGCTGGCCTGTAGTTCCTGAGGTGTAGATGAGGGTGCAGCACTGGTTCGGTTTCTGGCTGGAGAGGATGGCATCGAGTGGAGGGTCAGGCTCGTTACGACCCAGGTCCATGAACTGCTTCCACTGAGGAACACGAAGAACGTCACTACAGGTTGTTTTATGTGCAAAATCTTTCCAAAAATGTTTTCTAGATTTCAAAGAATTCAACTTACTGTGAATGTATTTGGTCTTTTCTCTTTAGGTGTTTCTTTGTACATTATAATGGCCTTCAAGTCTGGAAGCCTGCCCTCTACCTGTGGACAACGGGAATGCGGACATAAAAAAGTAAGTTACCAGGGAAATATCAACTGTAGTCAGATACAGTACACACAAACATTGAATGGACACAAGGATAAATGTCTATTAATTTGCCAATTTATTTTTAGTGTAACATAATCATGCCTTTATTTGGATATATAGAGTAAAACACAGACAGGAAAAAAAATTCTTCAGGCTTTTATTCCCATGTGCTTTTTTATTTATCACAAAAATGTCATCAATCATTTTTAATATTTTAACTTTTAAGATTATTTTTTCCATTGTCTCCATGTACTGATTGATTGAAATTGCAGCAGAGGAATAAACCTGAAAAAAGAAAATCTAGTAACTGAAAATCTTTCCAATTATCAAATTTGACTTTTTTATTTTTGTCGTTCCTATGCATATAACACCAACTATTTCAACTATAGACACATCTGGTCTCACCTGCAGGATTTTCTGCAGCTGCTTTTGGTTCTCCACCACTAGTATGTTGGCCTTGCAGTTTGCTGCCACATACTGGCAGGCTTCAGCAGAGTTGGTGGCGTAGATGCCTACAGCGAAACCTCTGCAACACACATTCACAGTCACTCTTTGTTCCAGCCAAACAAGATAAGAGTACGTCATATAATCTTATTAATTTCTATTTTATTCAATCAAGCACAACTGAAGACACACAATGAGAAGCAGACAAGACCACAAACTCCCATCATGAAATATCGAAATGTATAAATGAAGAATTACAATGTGACAAATTTGAGGAGAAGTAGCTGCAGTAAAATGTTTTTGGTGTGGACTTTATGTCATACCTAACTCTAAGTCTCAGTCTAAACCTTTTCAAAAAGTTCAACCTTTTTTTAATCAGAGCATTTTAGATACTTTTACATCAATGAAATTGATCTGTATCTTAACCTGACTTTTAAAAATCACTATGAACAGTTTCATCGCTGGTTGATCGCCTTCAAGTCAGAAACCTGAACTCCAGTAGAAATTCACTCACCCTGCGAAAATGGCACCAAGGTCGGCGATGAACCACTCGGGAGAGTTGAAGCCTAGGATGCCGACGCCATGGTAACGCTGCAAACCAAGCTAGGCAAAACACAAACACAAATTTTTCAAATATTTTGCCTAATTAAAGAGATGGTGTTTTTTTACGTTCATTAATCATCAATTCATTTCATATTAATATCATGTTTCAGTTAAAAACATTTTTGTTTTGTGTTTTTTCGATTATTTTTTTCACCCCTTCTTTTCCCCTCTTGAAGGTGCAGCTGCAGTGGGTCCAAGCAGCTAATAATAGAGATGTGTCCTTCATTTTATTTACCTTGAGGAAGCTCTTGGCAGCAGTGCGACAGTTCTGATAGTACTCCCTGTAGCTGAGCTTCTTGTATAGCTGACCGTCCTTCCAGCTCAGAGCCGTATGTTGGCCATAGCTCTCCACAGCTGCGGCGAACAACTGGTGGACCGTCACTGGAGTCTCAGCGGCCAGACCAGACTCTCCGATCCTCAGACTTACCTCTGAGTCCCCCTGTGATGTCCACAGGTCCAGCCCCGACTTTGGGCTCTGGATGTTCACTGAAATGGTGAAGATGTCATTGAGAGGTAAGGTGGAAGAAATCGCCACACAGTCTTTAAACTTTAATACATGTGGTTGTGGTTCATGCTAAGAAATGTTTCTTTTAATAACATTTGTCTAAAATACTACAACAAAAACGTGGGGAGAAAAAAAGATGTATTATATTTTCACATTTTTAAATCTGTTCCTGTTTGTTGCGAGTGACTTTATATACTTGCGAATTTACCCTTTACATACTGTTTATATACTTGCGAATTTACCCTTTACATGGCTTTACATTTTACAGGCTGCGTGTATAGTCTAAAAAATATATATTTAAAACATGTAAAATTTCCTTTTTCTGTAATATCCTGTTCAAATAACTAAAGTATTATTGAATGTTGAATATTATTGTCAGCTCACTTGTCTTCCTGATCTCTATCACTGTTGAGTCTGTTTCTCAGTTGATGTCGTTAGTGTTGATTTGGATGGAATTCCACAGGCTGTAGTGCTGTGTTTAGTACAAAACAACATCCATCGCTTTTCATTACGCTTTCTTTTCACAGATCTGTCTAAAAATGTGAGGACAGTATGGTGTGGTGTTTGTAATGATAAAAGTGAGTTCCACTTTCATCATTTGTTCTGGAATCATGTCTCTTTTACCTTCATCTTCTTTCCCTGCCTCCTAACATTCCAAGTCACAAAACATAAAAGGATTTTTTACATGAAAGTATTTAAATACACATCAGTTGAAATATTGTCCATAGATGTAACAGTTTTTGCTGTTTGTCTAACTCTTCTGTGTTTTCTCGACCTTTTTTCCTTTACTCTTTTTTCTCTGCTTATTTGTTTTGTGAGCTTTCTATTTAAAAAGTGAATTATTGCAAATGCATTGCTGTATAAAGCAGTTTATGTTCCAATACACCTGCCATTATGTTCTGATATACATATATACATATTTTAATCAAAAATTAGTGGATTTGTATTCATTTTTGGAGCTTTATTTTTGAAGACGTTTTTAAGAAATTATTACTATATTATGTTACTTTTGACATAATATATGTCAAAAGTAACATGAGATCACCTGGAGGTTGCTTGG